ATTTTAGCTAGGGATCGTTAAAACCATAGAGGCCAAAACTTTAAATGTTAGGTTGGCCGATAGATGTCCGGGAGTATTATTCTATACCAAGTAGTTTCAATAGTTTAAGCGTGAAGAGGTAACAGACAGACACATTTTTACATTATGGAATATACTCCATAACCACGGCTGATCCACCTTACCACTGAACTTTCACACCAGTGTTAGGGTGCGGCCAGAGTGCACTCAGATTCAGATTCAGATTTCGAAAACAAGCGCGAGAAATAAACAGTGTAGTCGAAGGGTACGGCCAGAGTGCACTCCTGATTCAGATTCAGATTCAGACTCAGAAAACAAAGCGCGAGAAAAAGCAGGCAACCTGCTTAGACTACACTGTTTATTTCTCGCGCTTGTTTTCGTAATCTGAGTCTGAATCTGAGTGCACTCTGGCCGCACCCTTAAGCTGCCGTTTCCTCCAGGTTGTGATAGGAAGATAAGCCGTAGCCAGAGCGAGGATGTGTGTGTAACAAAGCTGTAAGTACTATTCAAAATAGAGAAAAATAAGAAAGGGAGTTTTTAAAGGACTTTAAACATTGAAACCAAATTATTCATATCAATATTTTTTATTTATTTTATCAATATAATAATAGAACGTAATATGTATGGTATTAAAATAATGGCTTAAATCTAGCTTACATCTATTTTGTTTTGTTACAAATAATCACAATGATGCGGCGGGCACGGCTTCTGTCAGATTTGCTGCTGAGATTCGGACTAAGAGCTTTCCATCTTCCCTAACCTCTGTACTTACCAGTTACTTTTTTATTTTTATATTACACGTTCCCTTCTAGCACTAGGACAGCACGTTTTTTTATCATTTATCTAACTATATAAAATTAAGTATTACATTTTTTTAAAGTAGTGAATAGGGTATTTGACAAGTTTTGTAAAACGATTTTCACGTTATTGACTAAAATGGAGTGCGTAAAAAGTGGATATTCATCATTCAGTTGTGTATTTCGGTAAATAACCAAATCAAAAACTCAATTTTGAAGTTGCCGCGGAAACGTTTCTCTGGACAATATGGCGTCTTACTAGTGTGTGACGTCACACGACTGTTATTAAAACGTCAAACGATACAATTTAATGTCACTTTAATCGGAAGTTTACTTGCGTGTGTCGTCATTTTAGGCTCCGCCAATCCCAAGCGTTTTGGGGCACGTGACCGTAGATAAGAAAACTATTATCTTTTTAGTGGGTTTTTAGTAAAATTATGAATATTTTTTTGTACAAATAGTAAAAACCTCTGCCGATTTGTGCCAAAATAATTGGCACTTTATTTTTAATACTGTCAAATACCCTATTGGTTTTGCTTACAGGTTTTCTTTAGTATTTTCCGTCCTTTATCAGAGCGAGAGGTTAGAGAATTAGTAACTAATTAATTTTCTGGTAAATGTATAGCGAACTGAAAAAAGTAACAAGTGTTAATTAACACAAATGGTAAACTCTTCTCTATTGTCTATTCAGTCTGGGTATTAAGAAATATTGCACGTGTCCTTAACGTAGTAACGAACTAACCGAAGGCTATTATAATAAATTAACAAAAACAGATGAGCTCCTAACAAAATCTTACCATGTTAAAGCTCAGTAGTTAGAGTAAACGTTATAATTCATCTTTGTAACTTCAGCTAGCTAGCTCAGTTTTGGTGGTATTGTTCCGAATTATAACAATGTTTGTATGCGCTGAATATTACATACAAGCCGCACCCGTGACTGCGAGGCGATCACACAAAGAATAATAACAATAAAGTTAAATAAATATGGCAATAGTTACATATCAAACTGATCATATGATCAACCCTCGATACATCTACGAAGAGGCGTATTCGTAATGTTAATATAAAACAATCATTTTGTTTAATTAATGAACTATATTATTCAATAGATAGTTTTTTTAAAAACACTGGAATGAAACAGGGTTACAACAAATTAGTGGGAAGACCTCTTAACTTCATATAACAATTAGCAAAATAACTGATATTTCACGTAAGAACTACAATTTCTAATCTTCGGACAAGTAGTACCTCCACTTGCGAACTGTTCCCGAGCATGACGCACGAGAGCAGTGTCTCCCCCTCAATCACAGACTTTCATTCGTACAAAAATAAAATTAAAGAAATTACAACATCACCTATAATTTATATTATCATTAACATTAAGCCCGTCACAGACGTAGCTATAATATATATTAATATATCGAAATATATATTATATTATAGCAAACTTACACAGACGGGAGCTATACTATAATATATATTTTGCCCTCATTCGGTCTGCGGTCGTACTGTACCGTAATATACCGAAATATATCAGTCGACATATTTTGGTGACGTCATAGAAATATATATTATAGCTGCGTGTGCGGTCACTCGAAAATTTATATTGAAAATATGTTGTTTTATATGTCTTGCTGTGATTCAGATTAATATATATTATAGCTACGCCTGTGACGGGCTTTAGAGTGCAATCTGTTCAAATTCTGTCCAAATCTAAAGCATGCACTGATAATAATCGTAACTTCTTAACTACAGTAACACAAATACTGCACACAGCTGTATTACAACAAGAAATTTCTCAAGTGACAATAGTCTAGTATTAAATAATAAACACATTGGGCCTAGGGACACGGAATCGAATCCGATACCTTACTCATATCAGTACTTTTGATTGGATACTAGTACTTTAATTAGAGAAGTATCGAATCAAATTCAATAGGAATGATGCATATTTTTTTTTCGTTTATCAGGTAGATTGTCAAAAAGTATTGGACACATATTTTTTCTTTTTTCACATAATATAAACATTGCAGATATATTGATTTGAAAAGTCGCATGACGTCACGTTTGAGTACACTTGTAAGTGAAAATTCACTCAAAAGTGACGTCACGAGCGCCTACTCCCAAACTTTGTCAGAACTTTTTCATTTTTTGGTTGATTGCCCAAAGTAAAAATACGTGTCCATTATTTTTTGATCATCTAACTGACGGACTAAATAGAATTTCGTTTACAGTACCCCGTCATCACCCCTATTATGCAAACTCAAGAGCCGTGTTCTATACACACACTCACAGACCCGTCTTTCCCAGTGGGCACTTTGGGCAAGAGCCCAGGACCCCGCGATTAATAGGGGCCCCCTCAGGTCAAATACAAAGACCCTAGTTCCCGTTAAATCACCAAAAGGAATTCATAGGGGCCCCATGCTAACGCTTACGATTTCATTTTGTTATTTCTAGCCGCCTGAGGTTTTCGAATGCCTCGCGCTCTTTTTTTTCTTTTGCATTGGTAATAACAATATTAAAGAAAATGAGCGTGAGGTATTTGTATACCTTCGACAGTCAGAAATAACAAAATGAAATCGAAAGCGTTAGCGTTTTCCAAAACATTTCCGTTAGGCGAATAGCCCCAGGGCCTCCAATAGGGCAAAGACGGCACTGCACACTCATGTCCCCTAGCATGAGCACCGCGATATGATATATAACGCGTTTTTATCACGCTCAATTGTCAAATTACTAAGGAGTTTGACAGTAAGGCGCGATAAAAAACGTGATATAATGTAAACTGTGTGCTCATGCTACGGCTCCCGTGCAAATAATGTAAAATTTGACAATCTCATATTGATAATTCACTTTTAATATTTTTATTCGATACCGCACCGATAATAAGAAGGCATTGATACTTTTGGTTTCGATATAGTGTCCCTAATTAGGCTTGATTCTGGGACGCCGAACGTACCTATACAAAGAGGAGGGTGCTGTATTCAAAGTAGTGTACTCTTTCAACCAGTGTAGCAATAACTTCCCGCGTTAATAGTTCCAGCTACTGTAATGTTCGTGGCGTAGATAGGTAAATGAGTTTTATAATTTTTTTCGTGTTCATTTCGCGTAATGTATGGCATTTTCCCTTTAATTTTGCATTTCTTTAGGAGTTAGTACCGAAGCACTGCAATTAGTACGAAAAGTGTACAAGTAGATTACATTTCTTTAATTTTCATACTTTTGGTGTTTTTGGCATACAGTAATGCCTCGCGCACAATAAGTGGACACGTATTTATTCTTTATTCATATAACCAAAACATTACAGGGATATTATATTAATTTTGAAATATCGCATGACGTTACGTCTTCGTATAATTTTTACTAACAGTGACGCCACGAGCATCCCAAGCTTTGATGCGTTTTTGTTTGTTATTTTTTTGCTTGATTGACCGAAAAAAAAATATGTTTCCATAATTTTATGATAATCTAACTGACGGACTACTAAATAGGATTTTGTTTAGTTTAACCCATGGTCACCCCTATTAATTTCTTAAGAAATAACTCCATTTTTTTTGAGTGTGTATGTTATTGGTCCCAGATGACCTTTACAGCGTCACCGGGTTTGGGGACGGCGAGATCCTAAAGGGACCTCAAGCCGAGAATTGGCGAGTGCCTCTAGAGGTATTCCAGGCGGATGGCATCTCCCCACGGAGGGAGTCTCCTTTCCGTCTGGAGCCTCTAGACCACTCGAACCTGAGGGGGTCGGCTCAACTAGAGGGCGTCTCTGAGACTCGGACCTAGGCTCTAGTTAGCCGTTGTCGTGGGTAAAAATAACTTCATACGAGGCCTCCTCTTTATATTTGTTCAATGTTCTGGCATGATTTTCAAAACTGATTTCGTCAGTGATACCAATATCACCTTATGTTTTCAAATTTAATTTTATGTTTAGAAAACCCAATATCTACTACCTACATAATACACATTTCCTGTTTTTTTTTTACAATTCATGTGTAACAAATTTAAAAAATTACCATATTTTTTATGATAATAACTCCTTGCTTCATTAACAAGAAAATTAGTGTACGGTCAAGTAACCTAGAATATTTTTATAAGGAAAATTGCGTGAATTTTCATAAATAATGTTTGCACAATAAATAAAAGAGTATAAAACGTTACATTTCTGGTACCTATAATACAGGCTGCAGGAAAAACTATGCTAAATCTGCCCAAAGTTACTAATACAAATTATAAAGATACAAGCTGACCAGGCATTTTGAGAAAAACCCTCATCACCTCTGCGATATTGGCGTAGTGATATAAAGTCGTGCCAAAGAACGTGTTCAAAGTAACACTAACAAGTGTGTAAAAGTGCAATTCTGTGTGCAGCCAAACAATATCCATTTGACTAATTTTCCATTATACGAACAAAACGTTCAAAGTATGTTTATAAAACATAAGAAGTAATATAATATATGTAGAAGGTGCAGATTTGCTTAGAAATTTTCTCAGAATAACATACTGTTAACGTAATAAATGATTTTAACAATACAGTGACTTAACCATGTTCGCTTATCAATTAAATTGTTACTTATCGGTCCCCAGTTAAGTTTAACTAACAGGAAACTAAATGAATCTACTTGACTAACTACTTTTATTAGTGAATAAAGTTTTTGGTTGTCCGATTCATCCAATAATACTCCGGTACTCGCATAGCGCAATGCATTACACCCAATACTTTTTAATACTTCCATGAATCATCTCGAGACGATAACAGTTATTTTTGCGATGCAATGTGAAACAAATTTTATTTAAAAAGATTACAATATGTGATGATGTTGAAATTTGAAATGCATTTATATATTTACCATGATCTGGCAGCGAGTACTTCGTCTTCCTTTCTCAATGGCTACTTGATGTCAACCACTATTCCGCCAGTTTTGTACCATTGTATAGACTCCATTTTGAGTGATTTTTTATGACAACACAACACTGTTTTGGTGGTCGCGAGTACTATTTCAAGTTTGGTTAGCAAGCGGTGTCGCGTGAACGCAGCGAGCGACATTTAGCGGCTTCTTGACTCTTCTGCTTCAGGCCATCAACTCCCAGAATTGCATTAAGCGCTCGCCAGAGGGTGCGGTCATGCCCTGCGGCCGTATGAAATTCATCTCGATAGTCTTGAACCTCTTTTTCAGTTCTGCGTCAAAGAGCTGTAACAAAACATCTTATTGAAGATATGTATGATTCTTTTTGAGTGTGTATTCTGTTAGTCGCAGATGACCTTCACAGCGTCACTGGGTTTGGGGACGGCGAGATCCTAAGAGGACCTCAAGCCGAGAATTGGCGAGTGCCTCTAGAGGTATTCCAGGCGGATGGCATCTCCCAGCGGGGGGAGTCTCCTCTCCGTCTGGAGCCTCTTGACCATTCGAACCTTAGGGGAGAATACTCGTACCTGAGGGGATATGTATGAAGATAAATGAATAACACATAAAATGAAACAAGTCATGATGTAGATAGTAGAAGATAAGAGAGTAAACTCCAATTTTATTAGATGGCCAGGTCTTGTTTTAAGTGGCTTTTATTGCATAGATTACTATACTATAATTGCACCCTGGCGGCCGCGTGCTGCACGCTGGGGCAGTGGTGGCGGCGCTATATATACACACACACACACACACACACAGTACCGGTCCGTCCGCGGCGGGCGCGAGCGGCAGCGGGGCGGCGCGCGGGGCGGCGGCCTGCAGCACCCTGGCGGCCGCGTGCTGCACGCTGGGGCAGTGGTGGCGGCGCTATATATACACACACACACACACACACACACACAGTACCGGTCCGTCCGCGGCGGGCGCGAGCGGCAGCGGGGCGGCGCGCGGGGCGGCGGCCTGCAGCACCCTGGCGGCCGCGTGCTGCACGCTGGGGCAGTGGTGGCGGCGCTATATATATACACACACACACACAGTACCGGTCCGTCCGCGGCGGGCGCGAGCGGCAGCGGGGCGGCGCGCGGGGCGGCGGCCTGCAGCACCCTGGCGGCCGCGTGCTGCACGCTGGGGCAGTGGTGGCGGCGCTATATATATACACACACACACACAGTACCGGTCCGTCCGCGGCGGGCGCGAGCGGCAGCGGGGCGGCGCGCGGGGCGGCGGCCTGCAGCACCCTGGCGGCCGCGTGCTGCACGCTGGGGCAGTGGTGGCGGCGCTATATATACACACACACACACACACACACACACACAGTACCGGTCCGTCCGCGGCGGGCGCGAGCGGCAGCGGGGCGGCGCGCGGGGCGGCGGCCTGCAGCACCCTGGCGGCCGCGTGCTGCACGCTGGGGCAGTGGTGGCGGCGCAGGGCGCTCACTTCCCACAGGGAGGAGCCCAAGGCGCGGGAACGACTCGCTGATGTCTCTTCCATCACGTACGGGTCGCTTGACACTGCGCAAACGTAATGGTGACCAATTAATATCAAGAGATGTGGAAACACTCCTCTTGGAAATACATAAAAACAAGCAATCAATTCTGCACTATGCTTAATGTTAAGTAGGTATATTGTTTTAATGTGGCTATATTTCATGCCCATTTGAATGCAGCAGAACTGAACCTTTATTAGTTACACAAGGTTTATTTAATAATGACACAAAATCTGAACCAAACAATTCTAAAAAAACTTACTAAAATAAATCTAATTCAAACTATACTGGTATCGATTCTGACACGATTCTCTAAACTTAAAACTAAATTTAACATCAGTCTCTCCTTTTCATTCTGTATGGAGAATGACAAGGATACACTGTTGTCAAATTTACGTTTACGTTTAGAGAATCATGCCAGAATCAACACCATTGTCAAGCTAGAGTCTAATTTGCTAATCTATAAATACAAAAAATATTAATTTTAATAAAGAGGAAATTATGCTAAATTAAAGTTATTCTTTTTGTTCTTTATTTATTTAGATGCTTTCATTCTACGAATATGCCAGTCTCATCGTACCCTAACCAAAACATACACAACTAATTTAAACAAAATGCAAGGTAAAGTACGTGGGGATATATGCTCGTATGCGGCACATATAGTATACTACTCCCCCACGACAACGGCTAACTAGAACCGAGGTCCGAGTCTCAGAGACGGCCTCTAGTTGAGCCGATACCATAGGGAGTGGTCTAGAGGCTCCAGACGGAGAGGAGACTCCTTCCGTGGGGATATGCCATCCGCCTGGAATATCTCGGCTTGAGGTCCCCTTAGGATCTCGCCGTCCTCAAACCCAGTGACGCTGTAAAGGTCATCGGCGACCAACAGCATACACAATAAAAAAAAACGACGGGTTGAACTCCGGGAGTGCCGGCAGAAGTGAAAACTAGAATACTAACTACTTGTGCATTTTTGATATTTTGGAATGGTAAGGGAATAATTTTGCACGAATTGCTTTAATTATCAGTTTAAAAGTACTATCATGTATGTGGTAGAATACACTATTTATTTATTGCGCTATCGTACACAAACATGACAATTTATATTACATTAAAATAGTTTATCTCCCAGATAAATCAATTTACATAGATGAATCACATTTAAGCGCACCTGCTTCTATTGTAAAAAAATGCATTTTCTTCGCAATAAAGCTGCCACGTGGACGTACTTATTATTATAATACGGTAAAATAAAATATTACTATGTTTCGTCCAGTATATGGAAAGTTTATATATATAGAAACAACCTTTCCAATTTTATTGTGTGTCATAATGCGATCATCCGAAACACGTGGGCTGATCGCATTCGCATCGCTAACGCGAGTTTAACATTTTTTACCCATACAAAAAAAGTGTACAACGCCGCTAAAGAAATTTCTTAAACTAAAATTAAAAGACAACATCTAAATTAAAATATGTTTGTATGTTTTATCTTCTTATATATGTACTAGCTGACCCAGCGAACTTCGTACCGCCCTAAAAAAATAGGGGTTGTCCAGCGGACAAAATTGTGAATCTAAACTATTCTCAGATCCCCTTGAACACACACAAAAAATTTCATCAAAATCGGTCCAGTCGTTTAAGAGAAGTTCAGTGACATACACACTCACAGAAGAATTATATATATAAAGATATATATACAGGGTGAAATTGAATGTTTCTATGAAACTTCGTGAGATTGTTGGGTTACATGTATAGAGTATACCTGATTTTTTAAAATTATTTTTTTCGTTTTTTATTTTTTTTATTTTGCATTTTTATGTCCTTTCCTCCTTTTGAGTGATAATTATTTTTAAACACGTATTCATAGTAAGTGAAATATAACAAATAAATAAGCACTATTAAAATAAACGAAAAATAGTTGATGTGGCCAGGCGAGGTCGACGCCGGGGGGAACGACCGCGCGCGCACAGCTGACGCGGCGCGTACCTATCTACAGTACAGTGAGACTACGACCTCGAGATACTGTGTTCATACTAAACAGCATCTCAAGATCGCTCTCAGAGTTGAGATCGTTCTATTCATACGGGCCTTAGATGTCATATTACAATGACAAAATTTAAATAAAGAACAAGTGTTATCTTCTCATTAGCAGAGAAAAATACCTAAAAAGTTAATAATAATTTTGTTACAAAAACAAATACTTATTGCAGTTTAATACTTGGGTCAGAAAGAAATTTATAACTAGGTATTAGACAGTACTTACGAGACCGGCGATGTAGTAAGTACAACGAGGAACGAGGAACATATTCATTTTTTTCACTAGAACTTTTTATCAAATCAATCACACTGGTAGTACACTAATTAGTTGTTTCGAATCAAAAAGTATTTACGCTAGCAAAAAAAGAAAATTGTTGCACTATACCACCATTTTGCTGCAAACAAAGGTAGGCACGTTTGCGGACGTGTCTTTCTACCTATTTTAAAGTGTCCCTGTCACTTCTCACTGCACAAAATGCAACTTCTATGCGTCTTTTTAGTTCCTTTTACTTTACTTTACTGAGCACTTCGTCACACTCGCGATAGCAGTACACCATTTCTAAATATTCTTGGTTCGTATACCGAGGCATAATGAAATTATCACAGTGTTTGTCACTAAGTCAAAATATGCGCACGCGCGATTGATATACTTGCGACTGCCCTTTGCATGCATTGCAATCAAAGCAAAGCACCGCGCGCGGGGAAGAGGGGAGGTGGGCGGGCGAGCGTCGGCGTACATAAAAGGCAGGACTTTTTAAGGTGCTTTCACATAATCATGCCGAAATAGCCCGCGCCGTACTACTTACTAAGACTAAGACTAAAGTAAAGCCTTGTATTTCTATAGTCAAACATTTACAAAAAAACTGCCGTTGATATTTGTTACTGCCTCAGTAAGGCACCTCGCGCACTAGACGATTATGACCACGACCAGGAGCCGCGAGGACCAGATTAACTAAGGCACGTCGTGCACTAGGCCACGACCATGACCAGCCGTGGTCGTGGCCGTCACCACAACCTTGATCGCAGAAGCTACGGTTGGGCTGCGGACAAGTTTGTGGCAACGACCACGACTGGTCGTAAAGCGACCATATTACTGGTCGTTTCTTTATTTCATTAATAAATAACTCTTTCAAAGCTCATTGCAGAAAAATATCTTCGTCCTATAGAGTTGCGGAACGATACGAAGCGTGCTCTTTCACGAACTATCAGCATGACACTGAGAATGGCTGAAGCGACCAGGCCGCATTTGCGATCGCAGATCTAGAGTGCGAGCGCTCATAGCCAGCTATACGGAAGATAGTCGCAACGACCAGTCGTACTGGCCCGCACTAGATTTGCGACAGCGAATGCGGTCAATCTCAGTGTCAAGGTCATGCGGACAGTTCGTGAATGAACATGTTTCATACCGTTCTTCGACTGAATATGACGACGTTTTTTTCTACAATAAGTTTTGATACAGAGTTATTAATTAATGAAATAAACGACCAGCAATATGGTAGCGTCACGACCAGTCGTGGTCGTGGCCGCAGACCGCAGCCGCAGCCCAACCGCCTCTGCGACCAAGGTTGCGGCCACGTCCACAACTGATCGTGGCCGCGGTCGTCTAGTGCGCGAAGTGCCTTAATCGAACAACATGATAAACATTTAACATTTCAAAATTATAAAGTTGTTGTATCCACAACAATTCATTCATTTGTTGATAAAAATGTTGGAGAACTAGGCGTCAGATTGTTCAATACATCGCTATTGCTGATTTAGTGTATTCGCACCTTTAGCGAAACTTTGGCGAATCGTGCTGTTTCTTTCTTCTCTGAAAGGAAAACGCGCACTATAAACGAAGACGGATTCACATCATCAAAGACGCCGCGACCGGCGCCAGCGCTGCACTTGTCTTGCCAGCGGGCGCGCGGGCGGCGCGTCGCCCGACCGTGCTTGCCGCAAAACAACATATTGTGTGTGTGTGTGTGTGTGACTGTGACTAAATGTGTTCGGAATTTCATGACGTGGGCAAATCAGTCACGAAGAGTTATTTCCTTCACTAAGCTCGTAAGTTAAACCGATTTGCTCTGTATAATTTTTCGCCGTTTGCTCAAGTTTTAATTAAACGAGGCAACTAACATCAACAATAAAAAAGAAGTTCTTACACTAACAGACAGGCTTTACCGATTTAAAATCGTGACAGTCATATTAACTTCATAGGATTTTTAATTGCTCTAACAGAAGATTTATTTTATTGATTAATTACCTGTGCTTTATGAAATAATATTCAAAGGTATTGTGTATCAGTGAATAAATAATTATAATATAGCATATAAGACTATTTTATTGTAATGTTTTTAAATAGTGTGGAATCAAAACGGATAGTAGGTAAGCGCCGAGTCATCTGCGCGTGTCGTAGGTACCTAGATAGGCAGCCGCCGGCGCCGGTCGTCGCCCCCGGCCGGGGCTGATCTGGACTGGAGGCATTCATTAAGTTTCCGTTTTTTTAGGAGTGCTTATTTTAAGTGGTTTTACAACTTCTATGTAGACGTGTTTAAAATGAATAATTACTCATAAGGAAGAAATGACAAATAAAAAAATAAAACACGTAAAAAAAAATTTTAAAAAATCCGAAAAAAATCAGGCATACTCTATACACGTAACCCACCAATCTCACGAAGTTTCATTGAAACATTCAATTTCACCCTATATATATTTTACAATACTTGTTCTATAATGTTTTTCTGTAACTAATAAGTTAAATTGCTGGCACTGTAGGTCGTCTCTTATAATTTCACTGTAACCACAGAACAATTATATTAAAATGTATGACTGTTTGTAGCCACAAATAAAGAGGAAAAAAAAAGTTTTCACTTCAAAAAAAAAAGTATACTGACTGATGGCAGGCGTGTCCTCGTGGCAGATCATGCGCTTGAGCGGTGGATGCCGCAACAGCAGGTTTCCGACCAGTTGAAGCAGCGCAGCCGCGTCATTGTCGTCCGCTACCAAAGCTAGGCGGGAAATACGCTTCGCGAACGCTGCCACCAGACTTTCCGGAAGATGCCTACAAAGACGGATAAGCTTATGATTGTTTTCATACATAAAACAACTACAGAACAGCTTTATTTATTGATTTGACATACCATCGACAATTTCACAAATTTCAATAAATAATAATAAAATAAATTAATAAATATTTCCAACACTCACACCAATTAGCCTAGCCCCTAAGTAAGCACTGTAAGGCTTGTGTTATGGTATGCTAGGGTAACGGATAGAATACATATAAGTACTATTATACAGAAATATATATTAAACATCCATGACTGGAGTACAAATGCTCGTATTCATCACACAAACATCTGCCCCACCGGGATTCGAACCCGGGACCTCTCGAATCGGCGACACCCGGCGTACAAACCAGTCGGCCACGGAGGTCTCAATGGTGATGACGGGGTACAGTAAACGAATTTTTATTTAGTCCGTCAGTTAGATGATCAAAAAATAATGGACACGTATTTTTTCTTTAGGCAATCAACCAAAAAATGAGAAAGTTATAGCGCGTCAAAGTTTGGGAGTAGGGGTTCGTGACGTCCTTTTAAGTGAAAATTGTACCAAAAAGTGACGTCATGCGACTTTTCAAATCAATATATCTCTGCAATGTTTATATTATGTGAAAAAAGAAAAAATAAGTGTCCAATAACTTTTGATAAAATAAGAAAAAAAAAAATTGTCATCATCCCTATTACCATTGCAGGCATGTACAACATTGACTTTATGTAGGTAGGTGCTTTTATTTGTAACAGTAACAAATTACTGTTCGGTTTGAACGTTACTATACAAATGATTATAGTAATAATAGAGCTTACTTTAGGCTAATTTGGTGTGACTTTAGAATTTCAGTGACATTGTTAAAGTCGTAAGGTCAACCAATTAGTTAAGTTGACATAAAGACAAAACACAAAGCATATCAATCAATGTCAATGTATAGAAAAATTTAAAACTACCATTAAAAAGTGCTTATTAATAAAGCTTATTATAAAGTGTCTGATTATATTTGATAGACAAAAATGCTTGGGTTTAAATTGTTCCAACGTTCCAGCAGGCTTTTTTTATAATTATGATGAAGATGAAATGATTTTGTATTGACACCGTAACAATATAATTTTTTGTAAATATTGTTACATAATTGTTTAACGCTGTGAAGTTTCTTTCGCCAGCTTTCTCCACAGCTAAAAAAAATGTCCGTAACTGATGGTGGGGGAAAAAATATGGACAATTCAAAAGAGTTGTATTGAGCATCCAATTTGTATAAAAATATTTTGACTTTTGAATTCAAACTTTATCACGGTTGTAAAACTAGCAGCGAGTGCAACTATGCGCAGATTTTAAGTTCAGATACATTCCGATCGTACTTTTGTCGCGCTACATTTAGTTGACTATACCTTGCCTAAACTAACTTTATTGAAAACATCAAGCTTTATTTAAACATCGAGCAGTTACATACTTTAAAAATATTATTGAGTTTGAACCGCAGTGTACAGCGCGTTGTACATGCGGGTACGGGAGGGCTACATACGTGGAGCTGAGGAACACGTCCGTCAGATGCAGCAGGCGCCGCTTGCAGCGCGTGTGGAACATCTCGGGCTCGAGCAGCGCGTACAGGCGGTCGTACATGTCGGGATATGTTACGTTGTGGCGTCGCACTAACTCCAGTACGCCTTGTAGCGCCAGGATGCTGATGGGGCCGCCTGTTCGTACATCACAACAATGCTTGAATAAATAAAAACGATGAATGAAAGGAATCCCTGCAGTCTATTGTAGTAAAACAGTATTACAGACTTAATGACTTGCCAAAACTAGGCGCTATAATGGCCTCATATCATCGTCAAATTTATAGTTTACTAGCTGTGCCCCGTGGTCTTACTCACGGTTTATTAGGGATATTTTCCCATAGTAAAACGTAGCCTAACTGTTAATTCAAGGTGTCAGCTAACACCATACCAAATTTTATTAAAATCGCTCCAGCCATTTAGACGTGAAGAAGTAACAAACATACACATTCGTACACTCACAAACTTTCGCCTTTATAATATATGCGGGATTTTATAACTAGGTATGATTATTATTTTAAACTGATACATCCATAATTCGTAAACTTTAATAAAACGCAAATAACGAGAAGTGTGGCACATCTTACCTGCATCAAGACTATCGCATAGCATATCCGTAGCGAGATACGGTCGCGTTAGTATCGGCATCAATCTCTCCACGAGCAGCAGTAACGCACGGCGATGGGTGCGTGGTTCTGCGCACAATGCCCACTGGCACGCGAAGTTCCAGCAACGGTTCGCGTAGCGACGACACACGCCCGGGTTGTAGGGGAACGGGGCTTTGCCTGCACCAAACGAGACCACATACAGTGGGATAAAGGAGAGGATATTTAGAAATGGGCATAGAAATGAGAAAATTTGATCAGCATAAAAGTTAAATCTTGACAATGACTTCTCATTTTTTTAATGTAGGAAAACACATTTACATTTATACTTAAGAAAATTTTATGGCAAGGCAAAAAAGATACTTCAAAGTCCCAGTGGTTTCATAAATGACTGTGTATCCTCAAAAATCAAGATCAGTCAAGGCCGACTAACCCATGATCAGGATAAAAAATCGGGATTTTTTCAGTATTCTGTGAACAGCATGTGTAAATAATTGAGACTTCCAAAAATCTTTTGTGCCTTGCCATAAAATTTTCTTAAGTATAAAGCTAAACGGGTGTTTTGAAAGTATTTTCATGCCCTAAAATATAGGTGTTGATTAGACTGCTATAACTGTAAATGGAATGTAACACAAAGCAAAGCACTACACCCTCTGACACTCTAAAGTTCCAGCATCAGTTGGTATATTAACAGATTTTGCGAGAGCAGCAATCGCTAAGCTAGGACAAGTAGAAAAAGACACCAATGTGAGGAGTGGTCACTAAAGGCTCTAAGTAGAAGGGGCACAAAATGCGAAAACCATTATATGAAACAAAAAAAATATCAAAATGGTCAGTGAGTTCCAAGTACAGAATATTGAAAGAAAATCAAGATTGTTTTTCCTTATCAGGGCAGGGCACTGACTGCTCTTAATATTATCTTTATTACTAAATTGTTATTTTCTATTAGTCAAGCAGTAAAACAAAGTCGCTTTCCACTGTGTCTGTTAAATCCGCTGTTCAATTAAGTACCTACAATACATTGTGTATTTAATATAGATCAATATGGCTATATAGTATATAGTTATTGTGTATAATACAAGCCTGAGAACAAAAACTATAGTCTACACTGAAGCAAAGCGAGGTTGGGCCACTATTTAATAATGTTTGCTGACTTCCTTACTCAGTTTTCATAGAAACGTTGATGATACGATACGATTATGGAGTTCTAAAGAAAATATAACTAGAAAAAAATTTTTCTAGTTATATTTTCTTTAGATTTAAACATCAAGCAGTTACATGCTTTAAAAATAATAAAAATTATAACTATAATTGCTATTTCTTCTTTCAAATGTTTAATACTTGTAAAAGTATTCATTTGACATTGTGGGTTTACCTATAATGCGAAGAGATGGCGCTGCCTTGCAGCTTAAGAATAGCTAGAAAGAATTTCGACGCGGTCCGTGAGGGCTGCGGTAGCATAATTGGTCAGTGCATTCGCCCGGATTGCGAAGGGTGTGGGTTCGAGTCCCGTCTGCTGCCTGGTCCGCGTGGAATTTTTTCTAGTTATATTTTCTTTAGATTTAAACATCAAGCAGTTACATGCTTTAAAAATAATAAAAATTATGATTATGGAGTTGTCAAAGTTCATGCTTGGCCTTCATATGCTTAAACTGGCTTGGTGTAATATTAACATTAAATTAATTTAAAACACAAGTTCAGTCTATAACATTTTATAAGAGTTTTGTAATGATAAGTCATTATCTCAAATCAAAGTGCCTACCTTCAGCTCCACACAATATTTTTTCCTCTTTTTCCTCATTATTTCGGTTCCTGATCCTGCATTTAGCTTCTGTTTGTATTTCAGTTATCAGAAGTTTGTCCAATAGCTCCAGATAGTTTTGCATAAATGTTGATGAGGGTGATCTGTTGAAATAACAATTCAAGGGCATATAAAACTTAAACATAGTCATTCAAAATAAATTACACCCAGTATATTATAATCTTAATAATTATCTCTTAGTTACTCGATATTCAACACAATGCAGTAAGTACAACTTATGATTGAAGTACACAATTTTTTCATAATAATGGTAACGCAACTTACTTGCGATATGCTAATGTTGAGAGTACTTTTAATCCATATTGTTGCACATCCCTGTATTCAGTAAACTCTTGGAATCGAGCTATAGGAGCAGACATTGATTGCTCAGAGTCCAACAAAACTGTAAAGATGTTCTGGAACAAATAACACCCACCATAATTTATGTCTTATATACAATTTTGGCCATTTCAAGAGAAGATAACACATACATTATAATATCGAAAAAAATTGTAACACTGTAATTGTAATTTGTTATATAGAAAAAAAAATCATGAAGATATTCAGATAAATATCTATATTATACTAGAGGTCGCCTGCGACTTCATCTGCGTTAACTAAGTTTCTTAAAAATCCCTCTGGAACCTTACATTTTTTTCGGGATAAAAGTAGCCTATGTGGTAATCTAGGGTGTCAGCTAACTTCATACCAAATTTTATTAAAATCGCTCCAGCCGTTTAGACGTGAAGAAGTACCAAATATACACATTCACATACTCACACACTCACAAACTTTGCCTTTATAATATTAGTGTGATTGTACCTTTAGTCGTGATGATGGAAAATAGAACCCAGTAGAGCTTTCTAATGGATTCTTGCCTTCAGCCTGCAGCAGTTTGCATACTGTCACTAGAGCTTGGAGACGGGAGTTCATGCGGCCTCTCTTGATACATTCCAGAGTTTGGTTCAGTGCAGTTTCATAGCAATCTCTTAGCCATCTTGTATATTCTGCTTCTGGGCTTTGTTCTTAATACGAAAAAGAAACTTACTATCAATTTAATCATTAAAAAAATATCACTTTAAGAATAGTTTTGAATAGCATGAAAAATTTGATATGAGCAAATAACAGTTGTGACTTGCAATAAATACTCAAACTAATAAGTTATACCTACCAACAACAATGAACACATCCACATATGACCTTGAACATTTAGCTAGGCTAGGACTAACAAGTTGGTGCAAAAATACTTAGGAGTGGCATTTATATTATGTAAATACTTAGAGAAACTTTTGAGCTGTGGTGCTTTCTGCCTTCTGGTAGGTTATAAAAGTAATTACACAAGACATTCGTTGGGCTGTGGTCGATGCCGCCTTTTATATAAGCAAGGAACGTCACATGTCGCAAAATTCATTATTTATATCAAAATTCAGAATTTAGTTTAATCAGATGAAAGTTCCAGCTATGTTTTATTAAGGGGGAAAAAACACGAATTTTACGTAAAAATCAATAGTATTACCCTAAAATAGAATATACATATCTGTAAACCGCTGCTAAAGGTACTTACCGATAGGTTTCAATGGTACAATTTCTTCAATCAAATCGCCTCTTCGTAATAGTTCTGTAAATATTACTTCAATTGTAAGCAAAAGCGGCGTGTAATTATCAGTTGTAGCCTGAAAATCGCAAGAAAATCCCATTAATTTATAACGTAACCTGTGACGCAGTTTTAATAATTCAAATAAAAGACTGAACATAAGTATACTAACCTGAAACATCTGTAAGAGATCAGCAAGATTATTTGCATGTTTTCTAGAGTTTAAAAACTCATTAGCTTTATTACGTAGCTGTGTTGAAACCATTTTTAGCAAGTTTGGATTATCATCGGCCATTTTTGTATTGAAAAGAATTTGACAAGATCACATCACTTTCTATAAACTGCATACGACTAGGGATCCGGAAAAAGATGGAAACAATACTTGAATATACTTGATACTTTTTTTACGATACCAAGTATGATAGCACTTTTTGAATATACTCGGAAAGAGTTCAAAAAGTGCTATCATTTCTCTATCAAATAAAATAAATAGATATTAGGCCAGTTTCAACTTCAAATGTGTTGAGAACTTATTCTCAGAAAACTAAAAAAAACGGACAAACAAACATCGTTTGAGCTCCTCGAGTATTTAATTGGTTTCACATTAGCCTAAAAATGTGGTTTTAATATACATCGATTAACCAATAGTCTTTTTAAGCTGATCGCACATTTCACATTTGTAGTAGTATAGAACCTATGCGCCGCATGATGATGATGTGCGATCATCTTTAAATGTTCTCCAAAGAGTAATCTATTTTGTCTATGTTAAAGAAGAGGTTCAATTGCAATAATCAAACCTTTTAACTAGTGTTAAGGTTTAAAATTGCAGCACAAATATTTTAAATATGCAAATAAAAAGTGAGGTTAGTTTAGCTGTCAAATAGCCGATTTCATTTCTGGAAGAGAGCGGTGTTTGTTTTGAATAAAATTCCATAAAAATTAGATCATAAGTACTGTATATTATTGAAAAATGGACGGCGATCTATACGATGAATTCGGTAACTATATCGGACCTGATTTGGAATCGGACTCTGATGACGAGCAAAGTGTTTACGGGCAGGATAATAGAGATGCCGATGAAGATGCCATGGAGGAAGACGAAGACGCTGATGCTGAGCCCGAGGTGGCTCCTATGTCAGTTGTTTTACACGAGGATAAACGGTAAGTAGCATATTTATCAAGAAATTTTATGTAAAAAATAGTTTAATCAAACTATAGGTTATGTTTGTATTTTAGTACTTTCTTTCTATTTTGTTTTCCCTATACTTTTCCATAATTCTATGTCCTTGTACTTGCACAAAGTCCTTTCACAGTATAGGCAGAGTTTAAAACAACAGACAAGTAATTTTTGACACACTGAATTACTGAAGAAATCTTTTATAAATATAGTCCCATCTATACTAATATTATAAAGAGGAAATATTTGATTGTTTGTTTGTATTGAATAGGCTTCGAAACTACTGGATCGATTTGAAAAATTCTTACACATTTCGAATCCTACGTTATCCCCGATGAACATAGGCTTTTTTTTATAAAAAAAATAATAAAAAAAAACATTTTTTTTTATTTTATAAAAAGTTAGGGTTCCATATGAAAAATTTGATTAAGTAACCCAGGGTGTCTAAAATTTTACCAAAATATAATCTTATATCGCTTACACTGTTGAAAGTCATTGACAATAGAGCACAAGTGATATACTAATGTTTTATAGAGGACATCAATATCTACAAAAAGGTCCGCAATACCAAATGTCGAACTATCACAGTTATGACACAACTAAAGGTCCTCCCTGTGGTTTGACCCTTGTTATAATGAGTCAAACTTAAAAGATGGACATATACTGTCACAGACTTTTTGATAGATCTTTTAAAGGGGAACAATTCCATCATATATATTTTTGTGTAACTTTTATCAATTACTCAGCACACACAATGGAATCTCCCAAATGGAATATTTATTTTGCTCTTTATTGCAACATTTTACACTTACGATACTCTGCTGCTATTGGTTGTTGCGTAATATTATATAGCCTTTAGCCTTTCTCAAGAAATGCATAGTGCATTTAACACAAAAGATATTTTCAATCGGACCATTAGTTCCTGAGAACCAAAAAATGGTGCATTCGGTACAACGGATCCTAAAGTATGCAACAAAATTTTCACTATGAGTTAAATGATTTCCGGTTTCGAACTGTCAAGTGAATGTACGCTTATTCGCAAGTCTCCACAAATACTAAAAAAGTGTTGCAAAAGCTAGGAATTCTGCTGCAAATAGTGCTGACAACCACGCATCCAAGTCCTAAGCGCAGTAATCAAGTGATTTTTCGTGCAAAAGAATCGTTCTTCCCGAGAAAAACAGTGAATTACTTTCAAGTAGGTGTATATACGAATAACTAGTACCTATTCCTATAGTAATTAACACAAAGTATTCGCACAAACCTATAACGTAATTTCCGCAAATCACTCAGATAGATTTCTTCAGTGATGGCTCCCTCAGGATTTGGCCAATATCTGGCTGACTCAAACATCAACTGTCATCATAACTGAGCTGTCTTATTTGACATTTGACAGCTGGTGCTGCCAGTTGTTAAAATTAAACCAAAGACTACCTGGGATACCATAACGCAAAAAGGTTTGCCAGTGACGAAAAAAAAAATAACCTTAATAGTTGGAAATTCAAAAATGGATATGCAAATGATACTTTCTAAAATAGAGGAGCAGTTCGAAAAGCAAACCAGTTTAATTACGGATAACGTTACCAAAAAACTGTCTGCTACAATAGACGAAAAACTTAACCCACTGTTGGAAGAAAATCAAGAGTTAAAAAAAGAAATTAGTTCCTTAAAATCTAAGCTGCAAAACCTAGAAAGGGACATAAGAAGAAATAATTTAATAATGCACGGAGTCAAAGAAACCGAAAATGCGGATGTCATAGATTTGGTGTTAAAAACTCTTAATATCGCCTGTGAAAAAGCTGGCATTGAAAACTGGGATAAGTGGGAGATCAGTGATGCTCGTAGACTAGGAAAAGCAACCCCAAATAAAATAAGACCGATTCTTATCTCGGTAACCTTGGCATGGCGCAAAACGCAAATGTTAAAGAACAAAAAATCTCTACCACAAAACGTATACATCAGTGAAGATTACTCAAAAGACGTCTTAAACAAAAGAAAAGAACTTAAAATACAGCAACAGGAGGAGATTAAACAAGGAAAACAGGCCTACATCCGGTACGACAAGTTAATTATAAAAGAAAAACCATCAGAAAAAAGGAAAAGATCCCCGTCAAAGTCACCGAAAACACCACACTCTGCAGAATCAACGTATGCCGCGCAGACTAAAATTTGCAAGACAAAACAAAACTAGAACAAATGCATCGCGCCAGATCGAACTCTTTTTCAACACCCACAGCAAATAAACAATAACAACCAACGAAACCACCAAACCGGGAGACAAACACCACAAACAATCAAACTGAAATAATAATAACAGAAAGAAGCCCTTCCCCAAGCCGGTTGGTCACCGAGGGGAAGTATGACCAACACCCTCTAACACAGAAAAACTGCAAAAAAGAAACGATCCAGAGAAAAGATATAATGTATGTATGTACACTGAATGCTAGGACACTAAGAACCGAAGAAAGCCTTCAGGAGTTAGAACTATCTCTTAAAGATTTAAAGTGGGACATTTTAGGTATCAGCGAGGTGAGGAGAGAAGGAGAAGGAATTGAACAAAGAAAGGACTACGTAATGTACTATAAAGGTGGGACGACGGGACACCGGGGTATAGGCTTTCTAGTAAAACTGAAATACAAGAACTTGATAAAAGAATTCAAGGGGTTATCAGACCGAATAGCGACACATGAACTCACCCACAAGCAAAAAAGACTGTATTATAGTACAAGTATATGCACCTACAGAACAAGCGAGCGAGAGTGATATCCAGCTCTTCTACTCCTCACTTTCAGATGTCGTAGCTAACTATACTAATCAGAACCTTATAGTGATGGGTGATTTCAATGCCCAGTTAGGCACGAGACAAGCAGGAGAAAATAAAATTCTGGGGAATTTCGGGCAAGGTAAAAGAAGCAAAAACGGCAATAAGCTAGCGGAATTTCTATTAGAAAACAACCTCACAGTACTCAACTCTGTCTTCAGAAAAAAACCCAAAAACAAATGGACATGGATATCTCCGGATGGAAGAACCAAAAACGAAATAGATTATATTCTGACAAATAAACCCAGACTTTTCAGTGACACACATGTAATACAAAATCTAAATTTTAACACAAACCACCGCATGCTACGTAGCTGTCTTAACTACTTTCTACCGAAAAAGTCGAGGAAACTAATAATTAACAGAAACCTTTTTAATGTACCTTACGATCAAGAACTCAAAACATTGGATATACGCGTTGCCGAACCTCTACTATGTAGAGAAAAAACTTACCGAACTATCTAAAGGAAATAAAAGAAAAAGCAAAGACATCAAACACAGCGAACAAACTATGAAGCTCCTGGAAGAAAGGAAGAAGCTAATAGCAGAAAAAGTAAAAGACAACCGTAGCAAAGTTTCAAATTTAAGCAAACAAATAAGAGAAAGCATGAAAAAAGATAGACATTCAAGGAGATCACAAACACTAGAAAAGCACATTGCAAGGACTGGTGGTGTAAAGAAAGCACTAAATGTTCTAAGAGAAAAAGGTAAAGATTGGATCCCTAAAATGAAGAAAAACCAAAGGGACATTACAAAACGTATAGAAATTCAAAAATTAGCTACCAACTATTATCGCTCACTATACTCTGATCATCACACTACCACGAAATATAACTTTGAAACCTCTAAAACTGAAATCGAAGAAAACCAGGTTCCAGTTATACTTTCTGCAGAAGTTGAGAAGGCTATCAACTCCCAGAAACTAGAAAAGGCACCTGGCCCTGACAGAATCCCTAATGAGCTAATGAGAGGAACTATTGTGGATCTAAGCCCAATTTTGGCAGCAATTTTCAACGATGTATTACGCACGGAACTCATTCCGAAACAGTGGTGCGAATCTCACATCATACTCATTCACAAAAAAGGAGCCAAAGATGAGATTGGTAACTACAGGCCAATAAGCTTGATGTCAAATGTATATAAAGTGTTCGCTAAAGTGATACTAGATAGACTATCAAAAACGCTAGATGAGAACCAACCAGTAGAGCAAGCAGGGTTTAGGAAAAACTTCAGTACTATCGACCATATTCACCCTGTGAAGCAAGTTATTCAGAAATACAATGAATACCAAAAACCATTGTACCTTGCTTTCATTGACTACTCTAAAGCATTTGACACGATTAACCACCACTTCATATGGTCAAGTTTAAAGCAACAAGGAGTAAATAAAGTATATATAAACATAATTAAAAACCTGTATGAACAAAGCATAAGTAGCATAAAATTAGAATCTATTGGCCACCCATTCCCTATATGCAAAGGTGTAAGGCAAGGGGACCCTCTGTCTCCTAAGCTCTTTACAGCTGTTCTTGAAAGCATCTTCAGGAAACTGGATTGGGAAAACTTTGGCCTAAACATCAGCGGCTGTCGACTTAACCATCTCAGGTTTGCGGACGATATAGTTTTGTTTGAAGAGGATCCAAAGAAGCTTGAAACTATGATCCAAGATTTAGCTTCAATTAGTATAGAAGTAGGCCTGGAGTTAAATAAAGAAAAAACCAAGGTGATGACCAACTCAGATCCCATTGATTTATTGTTAAATGGGGACCATTTTCAATATGTTACTGAGTATGTGTATCTGGGTCAAATTATTTCTTTTAGTGACCAGATGACTAAAGAAATCAACAAGAGAATAGCCTATGGTTGGAAGAAGTACTGGTCGATGAAGGAAATAATGAATAGCAGGAGTATGGGGATCCACATTAAAAGGAAAGCCTTCGATACCTGCATTTTACCGTGTCTGACCTACGGTTGTGAATCTTGGTCTTTAACGGGGCAGCTAAGGGATAAGCTGACTCATTGTCAACGGGCTATGGAGAGAAGTATGTCAGGAGTAAGCCTAAGGGATAGAATAAGAAGTGAGGATCTAAGATCTAAAACGAAAATAACAGACATTCTATCTAGAGTGGACAACCAGAAATGGAGGTGGACGGGCCACTTGCTGAGAGGTACCATAGACAAATGGAGCAAGCGAGTGACAGTCTGGTATCCTAGAGATGGAAAGCGCAGGAGAGGACGCCAGTTTAGAAGATGGGAAGATGAAATCAGTTGTACTCTGGGTCCGTATTGGACAAGAGTCGCAGCTGACAGAGGTGAATGGCGTCGGTTAGAGGAGGCCTTTGCCAAAAGGCACACAGAACTGCGTGACTTATTGTAAAATGTTAAATCAATGTTTTGTTAAGAAAGTTCTGAAATAAAGGCTATTTTATTTTATTTTATAAATGATAATAATAATACAAGCCTGGCACAAAACTATAGTCTACACTACAGCTCTACACCTAAGCGAAGCGAGGGTGAGCCACTAGTTTAAAATAAATATGACCAGTAGTCATCATCAAGTCTGTAGTACTGTATTTGCGTTTTGTCACCTTTTGCTTGTTTGTGTTAGGACTTGAGTTGCCCTATGATTGTACAAAAATTTTCAGATATTATCCTCAAGCAGTAGAAGTGTATGGTCCAGATGTGGAGACTGTGGTGCAAGAAGAAGACACACAAGCATTAGACAAACCTCTGGTGGAACCAATTAAACATAAGAAGTTTCAAGTTCAGGAGCAACAGCTGCCTGAGACCAATTATGATATGGAGTACCTTGCTGACATGTTGGACAATACAAATCTTATGAGGAATATCACATTAATGGGCCATTTACATAATGGTGAGATAAATGTGTAAATTAATTTTCAATTCATAGAAATAAAAAATATAACAGTTGTTATCTTTCATAAAACAAGGGTCGACAAGATTATTGTCCTTTTATATGTATTTACTGCTATTTTTTTCATAGTACCTATAGTACTTAATTTCTATTGTTATTGTATAAAACTCTGTCAATGGAGTAGTAGAATAAAAGTTTTGAATATTCTCATATATATATACATATATATATTTTACTCAACTCGCAACTGACATCCTGTTATATCAGTGAAAAAGTTACTTAAATCTCTTTCATAATGAAGTTTTGTTTTCAGGCCATCTTTAATATTATAAAAAAATAATGTATAGAGGTGACAATTCTGGTTCTCTTATAAAATCTGTTTTTAGGTAAAACCTCATTTGTGGATTGCCTACTGAGACAGACACATCCTGGCACAATCAACAATGACACAACCATTCCAATGCGCTACACAGATACTTTATTCGTAGAGCAGGAACGAGGAGTGTCAATAAAGTCAATGCCTGTAACTTTACTCCTGAAGACAATCAAAGGCAAATCTCACTTGCTCAATATAATGGACACTCCAGGTCATGTCAACTTTAGTGATGAGGTCACAGCGGCATTGAGAATATCAGATGGTAAATTATTTTACTTTGTAACTTATGCTTATCTTTATTTATTTTTTAAATAAATGTTTTGTGACTCAAGTTGATTATTTTATTTTTTAGGTGCAATCCTCTTTGTCGATGCTGCTGAAGGCATAATGCTGAACACAGAGAGGCTTCTACGCCATGCTGTGCAAGAACGAGTACCGTTAACCTTATGTATAAACAAGATAGACCGTCTCATTCTGGAGCTGAAGCTGCCGCCGGCGGACGCATATTATAAGCTGCGGCACATCATAGACGAGCTCAACTCTATGTTGGAGACTCACCAACCTCAGGATAACCCAGATGAGCCTGCCACTGTCTTTTCTCCATTACATGGTATGAAATTTAACTAAAAATTAGAACTTCTTCCCATTTATTGATTGAAATTGACTTGACGACCCCCATGTCCAGGTGGCTTGTATGTGGGGTTTCAAGGTGTCGCCTACTGGTTATGGGGTTACGAATCATGGTGGGGGCAGATGTTTGTGTGATGAATACGAGTATTTGTACTCCAGCCATGAATATTTAATATGTATTTCTATATAAATATACTTGTATATGTATCAGTATATGTATTCTATCCATTAGCCTAGTATCCCATAACACAAGCCTACAGTGGTTATTAAGGGTATTGGTGTGGTGGGTAAAGGGGAGTTGGAAATATTTATAATATATCTGTTATGGAGTTGGCACAGCCTTGGGGGTAAAAGGAGCCTGAATGAGGCAAATAAGAAAATAAGCATTGATCACTAGCTGTATTGCATAGAATACTAATATTTGGTATTAGTTGATCTTATCTTAATATTTTTTTAAGTTGAAGAGCATTGTAGTGTCCATCTTAAACTCAACATAGTATTCTGATATCTATTTCCTGCTCTCCTCTCTCCTGGCAATTATGCGTGCAAAGATGCGCGAATGCACGCAACTCTGAGTTAGTGTGCTTTAACCCATTGTGATCCTTATATTGTGAGCTTAATCCTCCCCGGATTATGCTCAGCAGTCAGCAATGGGTGTCGTACAGCTGCAAGATTCCCAATCATTCCATAGAGCAGCCTCCAAAGTTTTTAATTAACACAATAAGATAAAGCTAATAGGTTCTTCCCATGTTTTAACGTGCCCAGATCAGCATAGTAGATGACTGTCAACATGTTCAATACACTGTTTCTTTTATAATGAAACGTATGTATCATCAGGCAACGTATGTTTCGCGTCGTCTCTCTACGATGTATGCTTCACATTGGAGTCATTCGCGGCGATGTACGCGGCTTCGTACCCCGCGTCGGGGCTGCGCGGGCCCGACATGGCGGCCTGGCTATGGGGCGATGTGTACTTCAATGCCAAAACGAGACGATTTAGCAAGAAACAACCGCATGCTTCGGCGCAACGCAGCTTTGTCGAGTTCATACTGGAGCCGCTGTACAAGATCTTCGCTCAGGTATTTTGATGCAATTATACAGATATGGCGCCTTGACTGTGAGGCGACTTGTACTTCAACGCGAAGGCGAGATGATTCAGCAGGAAACAACCGCATGCGTCTGCGCAAAGAAGCTTCGTCGAGTTCATACTGGAGCTGCTTTATAAGATCTTCGCTCAGGTATTTTGATGCAATAATACAGGTATGGCGACTTGACTATGAGCCGACGTATACTTCAACGCGAAGACGAGACGATTCAGCAAGAAACAACCGCATGCTTCAGCGCAACGCAGCTTCGTCAAGTTCATACTAGAGCCGCTGTACAAGATCTTCGTTCAGGTATTTTGATGCAATAACATAGATATGGCGCCTTGACTGTAGGGCGACATGTACTTTAGCGCGAAAACGTGATGATTCGGCAGGAAACAACCGCATGCGTCTGCGCAATGAAGCTTCGTCAAGTTCATACTAGAGCCGCTGTACAAGATTTTCGCTTAGATATTTTGATGCAATAACACAGATATGGCGATTTGACTATGAGGCGACGTGTACTTCAACGCGAAGACGAGACGATTCAGCAAGAAACAACCGCATGCTTCAGCGCAACGCAGCGTCGTCAAGTTCATACTAGAGCCGCTATACAAGATCTTCGCTCAGGTATTTTGATGCAGTAACATAGATATGGCGCCTTGAATGAAGGCGACGTGTACTTTAGCGCGAAAACGTGATGATTCAGCAGGAAACAACCGCATGCGTCTGCGCAATGAAGCTTCATCGAGTTCATACTGGAGCTGCTGTACAAGATCTTCGCTCAGGTATTTTGATGCAGTAACATAGATATGGCGCCTTGAATGAAGGCGACGTGTTCTTTAGCGCGAAAACGTGATGATTCAGCAGGAAACAACCGCATGCGTCTGCGCAATGAAGCTTCGTCAAATTCATACTAGAGCCGCTGTACAAGATTTTCGCTCAGGTATATACTGGTGTTAAAACGCGCCGTTTCAGCAAGAAGCAATCATACGCGGCGTCGAACCCTGCGTCGGGGCTGCGAGGGACAGACATGGCGGCCTGGCTGTGGGGCGACGTCTACTTCAAAGCCAAGACGAGACGCTTTAGCATTCATAAATTCGTATATAAATATATTGTTTTGTGCAACATTTACTATTTTATCGTGAAACCTAATTTAAGATATAATGTGAATGTATCAAATTGTTTTCTGTGCTGTGGTTGTACCTTTCAAATAAATAAATAAGAAATATGTACATAAAAGTAGAAAAAAGAGTTATTTTGTGTCACAAAACCTAACAAACACATTAGAGTGACTATTATATTGCTTATGCTGCTATTAATGCTGTTTTACTACCATTATATTGACATACGTCATGACTAGGTAGCTGGCAGTAACATAGTTGTGGACAAATATGTGATTTGGTATATTATGATTTAGGTGGTGGGTGACGTGGACGATACGCTGCCCGGCGTGCTGGCGGAGCTGGGCATCAAGCTCAGCAAGCAAGAGTCTAAGCTCAACGTCAGACCACTGCTAAGGCTAGTTTGCAGCCGCTTCTTCGGAGACTTCGCGTGAGTTTTTACCCAACCTCTATACCAGTAATCTCTTCTATAGGAACCAGTGATCTTAAAACTGCACTTCAAAAAAGTTTAAAAACGCTAAATTATAAAAATACAGAAACGATATTCAAAGTAATAAGTTAAACATTATAAGATGCACATACACACACACGCACGCACGCACGCACGCACGCACGCACGCACGCACGCACGCACGCACGCACGCACGCACGCACGCACGCACGCACGCACGCACGCACGCACGCACACACACACACACACACACACACACACACACACACACACAAACAAACACACATAACAAACTCCTTTGGCTATTCAATTGAATTAATAACTTAAGAACAGTTATCTGGATTAATAAATTGTTTACTAAATGGTACACAACTTTATGAATAGGGTGGAGGGTTGATTACCTGAGACACAGGATTCATCCTAGTTCAGGTGTCAACCCACCATAATCTGATCAATACGTACCTTTTATTTTTGGTAAAAAAAATGCATGCTTTTTATATCATTGTTTTTATGTAGCCATTAATACCAACATTGTGAACATTGTGATTATGGTGAGAAATAAAGGTTATGATTATTATTATTATCTCTTGCCAGGAGTTTGGCTGCGTCATCTTGGGGAACTCCCACCAGTATGGATAGCTCCTCCCTCTCCTCCGTATTCACGGCATGGTATAGCCCATTGATTGATGTTGTACCACGGATTTTGGGCGGCCATCCTCAGCCTCAGTTGGTCAGGTCTTTTGCCCTTATAGCTGGGCCTCTTGTTGTCCCCTCTGGGTGACATCGTGTCGTCGGGACGTCCTCGCTTTGCTGGTTTTGAGCTGGACTTCTATGGCCGATAGTTTCTGGATTGTCCCGACCATTTGCCACGGGGTTGTGTCAAATCGCTGCTCGGTTGCGCATTGTCCGGAGTCAGAGGTGCCTTTTCATGAGGGATGACTTGCCTTAGAGATCTACACGACTTTTGTGCTCTCCCCTAAAGTCCTTCGCCTAATCATACGCCAGAAGGGTGTGTGAAAATGGGGTACTCTTAAACCAACCTTGACTAAAGAAAAGTTTTACTGGTGTTAAGCTTATCCTTAGAGGAGCTCGGCTGCGATCATTGAAGTTAAGCAAATTTCGCAGTTGTCATTGTTTTGTTTGTTTTTGAAAACTCACACCTAGCCCCAAACTAAGCACTATAAGGCTTGTGTTATGAGATACTAGGGTAACGGATAGGATACATATACTGTACATATATAAGTATATTTATATAGAAATACATGTTAAACATCCATGACTGGAGTATAAATGCTCGTATTCATCACATAAACATCTGCCCCCACCGGGATTCGAACCCGGGACCTCTCGAGTCGGCGACATCATGAAACCCGGCGTTCAAACCATTCGGCCACGGAGGTCGTCAAATGGAAATTGGAATTGGATGGATGGAAAAAATCTTCTATCTCGAGTTCCTCCGTTCTTCGGAAGCCACTTTAAGCCGTTGGTCCCAGCTGCCTCTGCAGTCGTTAGCACCCGCTAATCCGCACTGGGCCCGCGTTGTGGGTCATGGCCCAATCTCCTATTCCATCCATAGGGAAGGCCTATGCCCAAGCAGTGGGGACATTAATAGGCTGATGATGATGATGAACCTTACCCCCATACGAATAAAATATCATTTAATTTGATCAGAGGATTCGTGGACATGGTGGTGAAACACGTGCCGTCCCCACTGGACTCGGCAGAACGCAAGGTGGCGCACAATTACCGCGGTACTAGCGGTGCACTGCGGGACGATATGCTGGCGTGCGACCAGTCCGGGAGGCTGGTGGCCCACACCGCCAAGATGTACCCCACGGACGACTGCACCTTCTTCCTGGTGAGTGTTGTACACACACATATATTTTAGGGAACTGGCGAACGCTAACGGTATAATTACGCATCTGGTCAAACTTTGGTACTTTTTTTACAGTCTGAAGGTTTCGGGCCCGTTGAATTTGAATCTTAAATAATTTTCAATTATAACCACCTAAAACAGTGTTAAAATTACTAAATTTATAAATTAAAAACCCAAAACCAAAAACTGACTGACAACACATCTTAATTTTTACTTCTGCGCAATAACGGTCAGCGCTAGTTTCGTGTCGCGACTTATAGTAGGACCACTAATTAACGGATGATAATGTTTAAAACGCTGGTTGTTGCTTAACTACTTCCTTTATTCTTCTGGCTAGTTGTTCACAAGATGATTGTTCCTGGCTGACTACAATTTGCTTTACAAATTGTTCGTGTTATATAATAATTTATCCCCGGCCGTCCGGAGCCGTCGACCAATCACAGCGCCCACTTTAATACACACCCCCCACGTGTCTTTTATTAAGTGTGTCTTCTGATTGGCGGTTCATCACGCGACCATTTCCCCGTCGCATGATGCCGCGCTCCCTTAAAGCAGGCCTTGTGATTATCGTGATGATCAGAGGCGGCGTAAGGCGTGGGCGACGTGGGCCACCGCCTACGGCCTCGCGGTACAAGGGGTCTCGCGCCTCAAAAAATTTTATGCATTGCTTAAAAGCGGATTTCTTTTTTTTATTAATTTATTAAATCCGTCTTCAGGTTGCCACACAACAGGGCCTCGCGAAATCTGTCTTGCCCACATCAAATTTAGGTCCTGCCCCGCCACTGGTGATGATAATAAAATATCTCTTATCTATTAGACAAGTCCGTCCGTCCGTCCGTCTGTCTGTGGTGCTGTTTCAGCGGCCAAACCGTAAGAGATAGATAAAGAGAATGTTTAAGTTATAAGTTAAGAATAGTCTGATAAGACTACAAACCGGATTTGAGTAACGTAGCACTTCCGGTTTTCGAGAAATCACGAATTTCAAACGAAAGCACACAAAATCTCCGAAGTTCTCAATTAATTAAATACATTTTTGTTTTTTTTAAATCAGGTTTTGGTGAACATTTGGTTCACTGGTTTGCTAGTGTGTAATTATTTTTGTACGCAGGTATTGGCTCGCATAATGTCGGGCACATTGTACGCCGGTCAGACGGTGCGAGTGCTCGGCGAGAACTACAGCAGTCACGACGAGGAGGACTCCCGCATCATGAACGTGGGCAGGCTGTGGATATACGAGGCGCGGTATAAGGTCAGTTACACGCCCACAATAATGTTCAAACTAAGCATAAAGCTTGGACTATCTTCTATAACCTGGGTTCCCATATAAACACTACACTAAACTTGTGTAGAAATATATAAAATAACATATATTATTAGTAATTAATATTGTATATATATATATATATATATATAAACATTATACATATGAACATATATAAAATCAAAGATATAATCAAAAATACATACCCACAGTGAAACACGAATTAAACATATCATGAACACCAAAGGTTTTGCTGTATCAAATCGCAGCACACCAAACCTGTAACCTGAAAAACAAACACATAATTAAAAAAAAAAAACCTTTGTTCCCAACCTGGGGGTAATTGCCCCTCCGGGGGTAAATCAGCCATACTTCGGGGGTAACAAAGAACCTAATTATTTGGTCAAATCTATATAATAAGAAAATACTATATAATGATATTGCTAAATAGAGCATGCGCTCCTTTTGGCTAGCAAGCCCGCGGTGCTGAGTGTGGGAAGCGAGGCGAGATTTTGACATTATTAGAGACCAAGATGTAGCGACCAAAGTGGAATTTCTTGGACTGATGATAACATTTTAAAGTCGGGGTAAAATCTGTTTTCCTAATAGTTTACAGGGGTATTGGAAGTAGTATTGGAAAGGTTAGGAAACACTGTTCTATAATATAAAAATGAATTGCTGAATGTCTAAGCGCAAATCTCGAGAACAGCTGAACCGATTTCGATAATTCTTTTTTTAGCATATTCCTTGAAGTACGAGGATGGTTCTTACGCTGAGAAAAAATTAAAAAATTGCCTGAAAAGTCCAGAAACAACACTTTTCTATACTCCCATACAAACGATTCGTAATAATATTGAAAGTCAATTTGAACTTTAATACCACACCATAAATTTCAAATGTCAGTGGAGAGGTTCCGGGAAGGCAAAACAATTGAGTGACGTGATGTCAATAGAAGTTTGGAAAAGGCAAATATATCATTTTCAGTTTTTTTTTATAATTATATGTAGAGTCATATTAGTCTACACTACAGCTCTACACCGAAGCGAAGCGAGGGCGGGCCGCTAGTATTCTATAGAAAAACAAAGAAAGAAAACCATTTTATTGGCCTTCACTTACAGTATTGACATTTTGATTTTTGTAATTTGAATCTTAAAATAATAATTATGAATATAGATAGTAATTAATTTGTATGCCAATATTGGCACGACATGTTATGTACTTAGTTAATTATCTTTCTTGCACATGTTGCCACAAATAAAATGTCTTTCTTTCTTTCTTCACAGCATTAATTTAGAAGAACAAAATGTTTATATAATAGTAAAACATAGACATAATAAAAAGAATATGGGAACTAATTACTAAGTTCTTGCCGTGCAAGGCCAATAGAACGCTGTCTTAGCTATGCTCTGTGGTAAACGCTTTCGGGATACCACAGCAGCGCTGGATATCTGTCCACGGAAACTTCAAAAGTGTATTAGTATCATAATTTCAGTTTTGCTTTTTACGCAAGTACGTAATGCCGGCACTTCTCTTGGCTATTCGTGCTTGCTATTTGTATACTTGACATCTGTCTGTCCTTTTCATTCCATAAAAAGCATGATAAAGACAGACTGTTGCGTTGAACTGCAAATGTGTGCAATGTGTATACCGATGGTTGCCGGGGTGTATACCAAATCTCAAGCTCGATAGAAGCTCGTTGTTCCAAGTGTTCACGCGTTCGGTCTGCGATCGTGGAAGTCAAGCAACTTTAGCAATAGCCGGACATTGGATGGGTGGGCAAAAATTTCTCTCAAGCTCTTCCGTGTTTTTGAGGCCACTTAAATCGTTGGTTCCGGCTGCATCTGCAGTCGTTAGCTCTCACCTATCCACACTGGGCCCGTTTCATGGGCAGGGCCAGATTTAGAGATGTAGGGGTGCCTTAGGACAACAAAGACAACCGAAATAACAAAATAAAATAGTAAGCTATAACGATAGCTATAGCAATCCCGTTATACGATTGGCCCCCTGTCGGCCTATTCGCTAACTTATTTGACACTTACAGTGTGTAACTAAAGAGAAGATTGCATAACCGTAGATGCTTTTCAGAGCAAGTATCTCAGTGGCGTTGTAATAAAGCAGTAGTGAATCACTAAATGACTCGGTGATTATTGGTTCCATATGTCAAAAGCAGTTAGCGAATAGGCCTACTAGTCATAGTTCATGGCCCAATTACTTTATCGCATCCATAAGGAAGGCCTGGAGACTCTTTGGCGGGATCGGGAAGCGTCACTTTAGCAGTTTTGTTGTTCTTGTTAAATGGTGGTAATAAATTTATACATAGGTAACCGAACCCTCAATAAAAGTCTTTCGAAGGTAGCTCGACAAAATTAATTAATTAAAAAAAATTGATTCCGAAAAAGCAGCCTGTAAAGGCTGCGAAACGTCAATAAATAAATAAAGTTTCGTCCATTAACCCGTGAACAACTAGTTTTATTTAATAATGGTGGATTATTAACCACTAAGTGTTCGGAAACATGCACAAGTGTTGGCAAGTGAAACAAAATAGCGGAAAGTGTCTTTTCGCGTTCCCTCAAGAAGTCCACGGGGAGGTTCCAGTAAATCCCCACACATTTACTGAAACATAGGGAAAGGGGGATTCACTTGACTGCCACTTACTTTGACTTGACTTGAATATGTAAACATTTTCACTTGACATTGGCTAAATGCACAAAACGTGCGAAGCCATATAGAAAAAAAAAGCAAGGCCTGTACCCCCCCAGCAGTGGGAATGTTAATGGCCTGAAGATCAGATTTGATTTAAAGGTTGAACTAAACCGGGTACCGGCCGGGTGCTGGGCGCTAATAGAAGGCGTAGATCAGCCCATAGTGAAGACTTGTACCATCGTGTCTGCGGACGAAGAGGAACAATTGCACACTTTCCGCCCGCTGCGGTTCAACACGCAGGCCGTCGTCAAGATCGCCGTCGAGCCCGTCAATCCTTCAGAGCTGCCTAAAATGCTCGACGGACTTAGGAAGGTAAAACTATTATAGTAATATAAGCTGACCCAGCGAACTTCGTACCGCCATAAAAAAATAGCGGTTGGTGGTAGAAAGGTGAAAATTTAGGGTTGTATGTATTTACCAACGCTGTATCATAAAAAAAAATGAAAAATAAAATTTAAGGGTGGATTGGATTACCCCACATTTAGGGGGTTGAAAAATAGATGTAGTCCGAGTCCAATATGCACACAAAATTTCATGAGAATCGGGAAAGCCGTTTCGGAGGAATTTAACCACAAACACCGCGACACGAGAATTTTATATATTAGATAAGTTATGTATTTACGGGATTGTTTCCATGTACCTTGTTTTTTTAGCGAGTTTCCAATATTTCGGCACTGTAGCAAGCGCCATGATCACGGAGTAACTGAAGTAATTGCGGGTAGGCTGTTATTGGCAGACATATCGGTCTACCCTCCGACGAAGTCTTTTATTGCGTTCAATACCTGTACCACTGTTCACATTCTCACTATTCACTCGAAACTGTTCTGTGTTAACTTATATTACTATGATGTTAGTGACCATGAAAGTTTAAAACAATAGGTAAAACTATAGTTATATTATTGATTTTTTAAGCATAACTGCTAGATGTTTAAATCTTAAGAAAATATTACTAGAAAAAATCCCACGCGGACCAGGCAGGGTCGCGGTAGCATAATGGTCAGTGCATACGCCCGGATAGCGAAGGGTGCGAATTAGAGTCCCTTCTGCCCGATCCGCGTGGAATTTTTTCTAGTAATATTTTCTTAAGGTAAAACTATGTTTTTATTATGGCAGTCATGAGCATAGCACATGACGTGCTATTTGTCGCAGAGGACCTTTTTAGCGTCACCGGGTTTGGGGACGGAAAAAATATGTTATGACTTTTCCTGAATCTCAAACCATCGCTATACCGAATTTCATCTAAATCGGCTCAGCGGTTCATGTGTGAAGAGGTAACAGACAGACACACTTTCGCATTTATAAAATTAGTATGAATAGTTAAAAAAATATCGATAAAAATATGATTTAATTGCGTACAGGTGAACAAATCTTACCCGCTGCTGTCGACGCGCGTTGAGGAGAGCGGCGAGCACGTGATCCTGGGCACCGGCGAACTGTACTTGGACTGCGTCATGCACGACCTGCGCAACATGTACTCCGAGATAGACATCAAGGGTGAGGCTGGACACAGGGCGAGACCAACGCGACGGTAGGCGCTGACTCGTACAGGAGAGCGGCGAGCACTGATCCTGGGCACCGGCGAGCTGTACCTGGACTGCGTCATGCACGACCTGCGCAACATGTACTCCGAGATAGACATCAAGGGTGAGGCTGGACACAGGGCGAGACCAACGCGACGGTAGGCGCTGACTCGTACAGGAGAGCGGCGAGCACTGATCCTGGGCACCGGCGAGCTGTACCTGGACTGCGTCATGCACGACCTGCGCAACATGTACTCCGAGATAGACATCAAGGGTGAGGCTGGACACAGGGCGAGACCAACGCGACGGTAGGCGCTGACTCGTACAGGAGAGCGGCGAGCTGTACTTGGACTGCGTCATGCACGACCTGCGCAACATGTACTCCGAGATAGACATCAAGGGTGAGGCTGGACACAGGGCGAGACCAACGCGACGGTAGGCGCTGACTCGTACAGGAGAGCGGCGAGCTGTACTTGGACTGCGTCATGCACGACCTGCGCAACATGTACTCCGAGATAGACATCAAGGGTGAGGCTGGACACAGGGCGAGACCAACGCGACGGTAGGCGCTGACTCGTACAGGAGAGCGGCGAGCACTGATCCTGGGCACCGGGGAGCTGTACCTGGACTGCGTCATGCACGACCTGCGCAACATGTACTCCGAGATAGACATCAAGGGTGAGGCTGGACACAGGGCGAGACCAACGCGACGGTAGGCGCTGACTCGTACAGGAGAGCGGCGAGCTGTACTTGGACTGCGTCATGCACGACCTGCGCAACATGTACTCCGAGATAGACATCAAGGGTGAGGCTGGACACAGGGCGAGACCAACGCGACGGTAGGCGCTGACTCGTACAGGAGAGCGGCGAGCACTGATCCTGGGCACCGGGGAGCTGTACCTGGACTGCGTCATGCACGACCTGCGCAACATGTACTCCGAGATAGACATCAAGGGTGAGGCTGGACACAGGGCGAGACCAACGCGACGGTAGGCGCTGACTCGTACAGGAGAGCGGCGAGCACTGATCCTGGGCACCGGGGAGCTGTACCTGGACTGCGTCATGCACGACCTGCGCAACATGTACTCCGAGATAGACATCAAGGGTGAGGCTGGACACAGGGCGAGACCAACGCGACGGTAGGCGCTGACTCGTACAGGAGAGCGGCGAGCTGTACTTGGACTGCGTCATGCACGACCTGCGCAACATGTACTCCGAGATAGACATCAAGGGTGAGGCTGGACACAGGGCGAGACCAACGCGACGGTAGGCGCTGACTCGTACAGGAGAGCGGCGAGCACTGATCCTGGGCACCGGGGAGCTGTACCTGGACTGCGTCATGCACGACCTGCGCAACATGTACTCCGAGATAGACATCAAGGGTGAGGCTGGACACAGGGCGAGACCAACGCGACGGTAGGCGCTGACTCGTACAGGAGAGCGGCGAGCTGTACTTGGACTGCGTCATGCACGACCTGCGCAACATGTACTCCGAGATAGACATCAAGGGTGAGGCTGGACACAGGGCGAGACCAACGCGACGGTAGGCGCTGACTCGTACAGGAGAGCGGCGAGCACTGATCCTGGGCACCGGGGAGCTGTACCTGGACTGCGTCATGCACGACCTGCGCAACATGTACTCCGAGATAGACATCAAGGGTGAGGCTGGACACAGGGCGAGACCATCGCGACGGTAGGCGCTGACGTCGGTCGGACGCAGCTAGAACAATGCCTCGGAATAAGAAAGAAATAAAATGTAGGCCAAAATAATGACAAATATCTATAAACCATACTATGAACAGCGTGGATACCGCCTCAGCGTACGGCTATAAAACCGTCAAATTAGATACCTCCCTTTCATCATCATCATCAGCCTATTAATGTCCCCACTGCTGGGGCACAGGCCTTCCCTATGGTTGGAATAGGGAGATTGGGCCACACAGGCACAGTGCGGGCGCTAGCGCCTGCAGATGCGGTACCAACGGCTGAACGTGCCTTCCGAAGCACGGAGGAACTCGAGATAAAAGATATTTGGTCACCCACGCAATGTCAAATGCATTCGCCAACACGCTACTAAAACTTTTTGAATACTTTCTTTGTTAATCTTTAGTCGATATTGAGTAAATTCGGAATTGGTTCGTGCTTAGGGTACTGTACACAGGCGTGTTAATCCGTCGTCGGCGTAGCACTAACTGCATTTTCATTTCAAGGGTCATATCAAGTGCAGGAGGAATTCTTGACGTCATTCACAAAGTCGGGTCTTTGTCGGTATATGATGTTAAAAAGTTTCCTAAGCTTAACCGAAGCTACCGGTTTACGAAGATAACATTTATTATCTGAAGTAATTTCATATCCGCAATCATATTTGAAACCGGTTCTTTATGTTTCTATCCATATTTTCTACAATCCTTCGGATTTTTTTTATCTTCCAATATTGATTCGGACGTATTCTAAGCCAGTATTTATCCTCAACAGTTGCCGATCCCGTAGTCTCGTTCTGCGAGACTGTCGTAGAAACATCATCACTCAAGTGCTTCGCGGAAACACCAAATAAGCGGAATAAATTAACGATGATAGCCGAGCCCCTTGAGCGGGGGCTGGCGGAAGACATCGAGGCGGGCGCCGTCTGCGTCACCTGGGACAGGAAGAGGCTCGGCGAGTTCTTCCAGACCAAGTGAGTGATGACACCCGACATGCCTTATATATACCACAACCAGTGGACGGTAATAACCTAGCCTCTGAAGCTAGGGCTGCTGAGGAAATGTCTGCGTCACTTGGGACAGGAAGAGGCTCGGCGAGTTCTTCCAGACCAAGTGATAGTTGACAACCAATATGACGCCTTATGTAGACCACAACCAGTGGACGGTAATAACCTAGCCTCTGAAGCGAGGGCTGCTGAGGAAATGTCTGCACCACCTGGGACAGGAAGAGGCTCGGCGAGTTCTTCCAGACCAAGTGAGTGATGACAACCGACATAACGCCTTATATAGACCACAACCAGTGGACGGTAATAACCTAGCCTCTGAAGCTAGGGCTGCTGAGGAAATGTCTGCGTCACTTGGGACAGGAAGAGGCTCGGCGAGTTCTTCCAGACCAAGTGATAGTTGACAACCAATATGACGCCTTATGTAGACCACAACCAGTGGACGGTAATAACCTAGCCTCTGAAGCGAGGGCTGCTGAGGAAATGTCTGCACCACCTGGGACAGGAAGAGGCTCGGCGAGTTCTTCCAGACCAAGTGAGTGATGACACCCGACATGACGCCTTATATAGGCCACAACCAGTGGACGGTAATAACCTAGCCTCTGAAGCGAGGGCTGCTGAGGAAATGTCTGCGTCACCTGGGACAGGAAGGGGCTCGGCGAGTTCTTCCAGACCAAGTGAGTGTTGACAACCAATATGACGCCTTATGTAGACCACAACCTGTGGACGGTAATAACCTAGCCTCTGAAGCGAGGGCTGCTGAGGAAATGTCTGCGTCACCTGGGATAGGAAGAGACTCGGCGAGTTCTTCCAGACCAAGTGAGTGATGACACCCGACATGACGCCTTATATAGACCACAACCAGTGGACGGTAATAACCTAGCCTCTGAAGCGGGTGCTGCTGAGGACATGTCTGCGTCACTTGGGACAGGAAGAGGCTCGGCGAGTTCTTCCAGACCAAGTGATTGTTGACAACCAATATGACGCCTTATGTAGACCACAACCTGTGGACGGTAATAACCTAGCCTCTGAAGCGAGGGCTGCTGAGGAAATGTCTGCGTCTCCTGGGACAGGAATAGGCTCGGCGAGTTCTTCCAGACCAAGTGAGTGATGACACCCGACATGACGCCTTTTATAGACCACAACCAGTGGACGGTAATAACTGAGCTTCTGAAGCGGGGGCTGCTGAAGATATGTCTGCGTCACTTGGGACAGGAAGAGGCTCGGTGAGTTCTTCCAGACCAAGTGAGTGATGACACCCGACATGATGCCTTATATAGACCACAATCAGGTGGGGTGGAGTCATTTGTCGGACCTATCTATAAAAAAAATCAGCCAGTGGACGGTAATAACCTAGCCTCTGAAGCGAGGGATGCTGAGGAAATGTCTGCGTCACCTCGGACAGGAAGAGTCTCGGCGAGTTCTTCCAGACCAAGTGAGTGATGACACCCAACATGACGCCTTATATAGGCCACAACCAGTGGACGGTAATAACCTAGCCTCTGAAGCGAGGGCTGCTGAGGAAATATCTGCATCACCTGGGACAGGAAGAGGCTCGGCGAGTTCTTCCAGACCAAGTGAGTGATGACACCCGACATGACGCCTTATATAGACCACAACCAGTGGACGGTAATAACCTAGCCTCTGAAGCGAGGGCTGCTGAGGAAATGTCTGCGTCACCTGGGACAGGAAGGGGCTCGGCGAGTTCTTCCAGACCATGTCAGTGTTGACAACTTATATGATGCCTTATATATATCGCAGTCATCTGATTTAATCCGCTATTTGATTAAATGACTAGCGCGTTCATTGAATGACGACATTTAATTGAATGACTAAAGGACAACTCGTCAAATTGTTTAATGTCACGTTCAACGGCTTGACTAGTCGTTAAATGGGATATAGCCGACCATATTATTTACGACAGATTCGTGATAAGTGGGTTAGGTCAGTGTTGTGATCTGAGCTTAGCCAACCACCTGATAGATAAATAAATAAAGAGGTATTTGTAGGTTTTTGTTTTTCTTCCTGCTGTTTGATGCCATATTTGTTTATGTGACTACTAGCAGCCGCAGTGGGAAAAAAATGAGCTAAAGTTCAATCACCTAACTAATTTTACGTCCGCTCTGTGCAAAGGGCTATGTTACCATCCGCTAACTAGTTGGACGCTTGTTCAATCAACGGTCGGCCTAGTCATTCAATTAAATGTCGTCATTCAATGAACGCGCTAGTCATTCAATCAAATAGCTGATTCAACCAGATGACGGCGACATATAGATAGTTTTCCAATTACAGAGCATAATGCGACTCTGGCACACTGTGCCGAATTGGTCTGATGCTTAATTGGAACGTGAATTAGTTTTCAAATGCACCAGCTAAAAATGTTCAACAATAAATAATTATACTAACGATAATAAATAAATAAAACATTTCGATCAATGCCAACTTAAAGAAAAAACACTTGTTAATTTTCTATCACTGAGTTGGTACGATTGTACGCATCACACGAAAACATTACTTTTGAGAGTGCTCGATTGTGCGAAGCGGTGCTGTAGTTGAAACATTCAACGTTATCCATTATGCCGCATAATGCGCTCTACCAGAGGACGTTGATTGCAACCCCTGCATTGACTTTTGAACCCCTGGTCAATGACCTTTCATTGACTTTGTTTACATTTTGTATCGCATCTCGTTGGCCGTACTTAAGTTGATATATATTATATTTGTTTCTTAGGTTTTCACGCACATCACTCATTAAATAAAACTGGTTTTTACGGGAATAATAAGTTTTATTCTGACGACGAAGCCTGTAAAGGCTAAAAAACGTCAATAAATAAATAAAGTTTTGTGCATTAACCCGTAAAAACTAGTTTTATTTGATATATATTGTTTTTATAGGTCAATGTCAATGGTCACTATTAAATTTCACTGCTCATGAGATCCATCCGGTACTTTCTTTTTATTTTACAATGTACATGATCAACAAATATTGCTCTTCAGAATTACTCAATACCTTTTACGTTTATTTTACAATAGATACGACTGGGATTTGCTAGCGGCCCGTTCCATCTGGGCGTTCGGGCCGGACGCGACGGGGCCCAACATTCTGGTGGACGACACGCTGCCTTCGGAAGTAGATAAGCATCTGTTAGCCTCGGTCAAAGACAGCATCGTACAAGGTTCGATTCTTACGAAAGTATTAGTTTTTGGAGCTTTAATTGTTTTTAGATATTGAAACAGCCTTCGGCCGTTTGCGGAACCAGTTTCGTGATAATGATTATAATTCTTTTTCTGAAACCGGTTTCGAAACCAGTTGCCAAATAAGAATAATGTTTCGGGTTTCCAAAACCGGAAGCAAACATCAGTTTGAAAAAAAAAACCCTTATTTGAACGGTATTGTCAACAAGCCCATGAAATTGAACACTACGACCCAGAAAGATAAATAATGAAATTATTAGAAAGTTTTATTTCAAATATAGGCCAATATTACCATCTGTTGAGGACATCTTTTAGCTGACAAGAAGAACAGACAGATGAAACTTCTCAGCTTTTTATAAAGTAGCGACATTTACATAAATATATGTCGTTACCAATTCATCATTATACATTATTTTTTGTTACAAATCAAGATATTTATTATTGCACTGTGAAAGATAACTTGAATGGATAGCTGAATTATATTGCAGATATTTTAATTTGTTACTTTTTTTTGTACGTCTGTGTGCGTGTCGCCTTAATATTTAAGTTTAGCTGTATGAGTTTGGAACCATGTTTTAGCGGCCCTTGTTAGATACATAGATAGATAAATCATTTATTCCCATCAGTACAGCACACAAATTCAAGTAAACAAATAGAAGAAATAATTACTAAATATGTAACTGTGTGCCGCATCGACAAAAGCACTGGTTTTCAGTTCTGCCTAGAAAGCGCGTAACGTGAATCTTTAGATTTAAACATTAAGCAGTTACATGCTTAAAAAATAAAAATTATAACTATAATTGCTATTTCTTCTTTCAAATGTTTAATACTTGTAAAATTATTCATTTGACATTGTGGGTTACCTACAACGCGAAGAGATGGCGCTGCCTTGCAGCTTAAGAATGGATAGAAGAAGAATTTCGAAGCGGCCATGAGGGCCGCGGTAGCATAATTGGTCAGTGCATTCGTCCGGATAGCGGACGGGTTCGAGTCCCGTCTGCTACCTGGTCTGCGTGGATTTTTTTCTTTTTCTAGTTATATTTTCTATATATTATTTATTAAATTATAAAATAATAAATTATAAATATTTATTAAATATATAATATATTAATACAAATATATATAAAGATTATTTAATTATTGTTATTATAACTATATATTATGTTATTACTAACTATATATTTATTATTATTTTAACTTCACTAAAAATGTTTCATTGTTACTGTTAAAGTTAAAGAGTACTGCTTCCATATCATTTCTAATTCGTTGTAAGAAATGAAGATTTCTTACAAAACGTACCACCATGTTTTTCACTTAGGTTTTCAATGGGGCACGCGCGAGGGGCCGCTGTGTGAGGAGCCCATAAGGAACGTGAAGTTCAAGATCCTGGACGCGGTGATAGCCCAGGAGCCTCTCTACCGTGGCGGAGGGCAGATCATACCAACTGCCAGGCGGGTGAGTAAATATCTTTATATAGGGTAAACCACCCAATCATTAGCACTCTTCAATAATTGGCTCTTCTGAGTTTAGTTTGAAAAAATAAGGAAAATAGATTATTCAAATTCGGCGTGTATGCAAAAAAAAACCGAGCGAGCCTTAAGTAGTCGCGTATGATGTGTAACATTAGAAACCTCACCTTATATTAGTACTACATACATTAATAGGAACACTGTATTCATATTAAACGGGAATGGGCGTTAATTGTGCAACACAGTTTTTGTAAAACTATAGCAGAATTATATTACTATTCAATGTCTGAGAAGCGACAGTATTAAGAGAGGAGGCGCGCTATGTTTTTTCCATATAAACGTTCTCGGCAGATTCCTCCGTGATATATATCGCTGAAGAATTGATTTTCATACATAATATATTACATACCCTATTTAATGCAAATAAAGATTATTCTATTCTATTCTATTCTATTCTAAAATATAATTTTACTCATTTTATGTTTCTATGTCTTCCTTTTTTCGTTAACTTGTGTTTCAAAGAAGGGCTTCTAGCCCTCGAAAAAAAAACGAAACAAATTTTTATCACCACTACATACGTCTAGTGTGGAGATTTGATAAGCATTTATAAGAAAAACGAGCGAGCCTTACAGTAGTCGCGTATGATGTGTCACCTTATATTAGTAAAAAAAGAAATAAAACCTACTACAAAAGGAATAAACCATTTGAACATTATGTTCTAAAATCAAATCAAATAGCGCGCGCTATCGCGACTTCCTGTTACACACTTTCGTCCCATTTCACGAAATCACTCCCACAGATTGCAGGAAGGCGAGAGGAAATATGTTACACGTCAAAAGTCCTAGAATGAACTGAAATTTGAAAATTAGCAGTTAACCAATACAGATTTTTAATATTTTTTAAACTTAACTCAAAAGTGCCAATAATTGGAAGAGTGCCAATGATTGGGTGTTTTACCCTACTTTTATACTTTTCTTAAGCATATAATTTTGTTTGTCATAATGTAGTTAAACACATGGCCGCATGGCCCACGTGATGGTAATCGGCCATCGGGCAGGCCATGTGTTACCCCCTCCCTCTTCAACCTTGTTGACCACCCACCCGAAACTTTTGCAAAAGTAAATTTTAACGGCACAGCCAACCAAGCGAGTTTTTTTGAAGACCCCCTAATGATAGGGTCACGGAGTATAGCTCCATGTGGTTTTCAATTTGTAAATTTGATAATTGTTAATTTCAGTAAATTTGCGAACATTTAAAACTACGTTGAACTCGCACACTGAGATTTATGGTACAGTGGCTTAAGAGCGGACGCGTACCAAGAGACATTTGAGAAATAGGTATTTGATATAACTATTGCTGTCACGCATTGGGAAATACCGTGCGATAGGGACAGCAGTAGTTAACGCTGAAAATTGCGTATAAAAATTGCAAAAATCGAGGTTTGGCTCTCGATGAGCTTAAGTCTAAGTCGTTTTACTTTGCTAATTTGGTTGAAAATTGTTAGTTATACTTAAGTTATTGTTAATTAATAATATTAATGTGATGAAATATGACATCAACGCATGTTTTTAGTTTTTGATGTCATCTTTCAATTGACGACTCTGTATGAAACAAGACAGGGAGAAAAAATAGCCCTTGCTGAGTTTCTTGCCGGTTCTTCTCGGTACAAGGTCTCCCGCCGTAGATTTACGAACCGATGGGGTAGCGTTTGACTTTCACAAGAACTTGTAACAGCCTAGACTGAATAAATGAGTTTGAGTTTGATGATCTCCTCCTCGAAAATAAGATATATGTATAAGAAATTTTACACAAAGAATAATAAGTAGTTATACTATGCCTCTGTGTCTTGATTTCTTTAAAAATGCTTATTAAATCTTCACACTAGTCGTCTTTAGTGGTGATAAAAATTTGTTTATTTTTGGTCTTTTTCGTGGGCTTCTAGAGTCTTTGAACCACAATTTATCGGGAAAAGGAAGAAATTGGAGCATAGAATGAGTAAAATTATATTTTACATATGAAAATCAATTCTTTAGTGATCATAATCAAGGAGAAATCCTCCGAGAACGTTTATATGGGTAAACCATAGCGCGCCTTCCCTCTTAATACTGTCGCTTCTCAGACATTGAATAGTAATCGACGCGGTCCGTGAGGGCCGCGGTAGCATAATTGGTCAGTGCATTCGCCCGGATTGCGAAGGGTGCGGGTTCGAGTCCCGTCTGCTGCCTGGTCTGCGTGGAATTTTTTCTAGTTATATTTTCTTTAGATTTAAACATCAAGCAGTTACATGCTTTAAAAATAATAAAAATTATAACTATAATTGCTATTTCTTCTTTCAAATGTTTAATACTTGTAAAAGTATTCATTTGACATTGTGGGTTTACCTATAATGCGAAGAGATGGCGCTGCCTTGCAGCTTAAGAATAGCTAGAAAGAATTTCGACGCGGTCCGTGAGGGCCGCGGTAGCATAATTGGTCAGTGCATTCGCCCGGATTGCGAAGGGTGCGGGTTCGAGTCCCGTCTGCTGCCTGGTCTGCGTGGAATTTTTTCTAGTTATATTTTCTTTAGATTTAAACATCAAGCAGTTACATGCTTTAAAAATAATAAAAATTATAACTATAATTGCTATTTCTTCTTTCAAATGTTTAATACTTGTAAAAGTATTCATTTGACATTGTGGGTTTACCTATAATGCGAAGAGATGGCGCTGCCTTGCAGCTTAAGAATAGCTAGAAAGAATTTCGACGCGGTCCGTGAGGGCCGCGGTAGCATAATTGGTCAGTGCATTCGCCCGGATTGCGAAGGGTGCGGGTTCGAGTCCCGTCTGCTGCCTGGTCTGCGTGGAATTTTTTCTAGTTATATTTTCTTTAGATTTAAACATCAAGCAGTTACATGCTTTAAAAATAATAAAAATTATAGTAATAACTTTTTTGGAACAAGTGCAATGTAATATGTAATTCTATATAAATATACTTAGATTTGTACAGTATATGTATTTTATCCGTTACTCTAGTATCCCATAACACAAGCCTTTATAGTGCTTACTTTGGGGCTAGGCTAATTGGTGTGAGTGTTGGCAATATTTATTATTATTATTTATTACATACAATTATGAAACGTTAATTCTGCTATAGTTTTACAAAAACTGTGTTGCAGAATTAATGCCCATTCCCGTTTAATATGAATACAGTGTTCCTATTTATGTATAAATAAAACAAACTGTATTATTACTGGAAAGGAAATTAAAATGTGATAAAAATATTCACAATGCACAATCCACCGAAGGTAATTTGATAACAAAAAAGGATTTCTGAGTGCATTTTTGTCAATATTATAACAAAACAATACTATGTTATACCAAAAATTTTAAATAAGGAATAAAATAAAACATTTGATTGTTATGCTTACATTAGAAGGAAGGTAAACACAGATAATACAAATCTATTAAAATTACAATATTAAACCTACCAGGACACTAAAAACCAATAAATCATGATCTAGAATCAACGATATTAAATACCCTAGATACACCAACACGAACAAAATCATGGCCGAAACGTGTCCTAATTATTATTATGTATTATATTATATTATAGTGTTATTTAAATATTGAAACTAACCTTTAATACATACTGTTCGAAATGCATGCTCGTAAAATTTTACGACATATTGTTGTATGCGGAACAATTTAGACCTTATTTGTTTGACTCTACGCGCAATTCTGAACGCGCTGTTAGCAATATAGCAGGCACGGACAGCGAGGAAAAGAGACGGCTATATGGCGACGTATAACCGACCATGCATTTGAATATCACAAATGTTTTATATTAAAACAGATAATAGTACTTACTATTTTTATTCTTATAATTAGATTAGAAAATTTACTTCAAATGCGTTAAATTAACAAACGTTGATTAGATACCTGTCGAAAAAACGACACTTCGTACTTTAGAGTACGTAATACTTAGGTATTATTTTCGCATTTTTTCACGGAGTTTTGTGGCATCTTAACTTTGTAACGGTCCGCGCGTGACTGGGAACCAAGAAGTGCTTGAGTGGAGTTCAAGCACTTCTTGATTGGGACACATTTTGAGCGCTCGTGATGTATCTAGGGTATTTAATATCGTTGTTTAGAATAGTTAAAACCAATACAAGATAGCTTTTGTTTATGAATGTTTCTTTATGGTCAGGTGGCATACTCTGCGTTCCTGATGGCAACCCCTCGCCTCATGGAGCCCTACTTGTTCGTAGAAGTGCAGGCGCCCGCAGATTGCGTGTCCGCCGTCTACACCGTGCTGGCTAAGAGGCGCGGTAAGTACCATACACTACACTCTACTTAACAATGTTGTTTTCAAATATGTATATAGATCGTGTTGTAGTTGACTTGCAATACTTCTCTTAAACCAGTAGTTTGGCAATCCCTCTCTTCAACCAGTAGTTTGGCAATCCCAGATCTAGATAAAAAGTATCCAATGTCTCATTCCTGGTGATAAACTATATGTGTGCCAAATAAAATTTTAATCAAACAAGAATGTTCTAGTAACTTATAAATAAGTATTTTCCCTGATCTGACGAATTGCCACCAACCATGTTCCCAATCAATTTGAACTTTATTATTGAATAGTTAAGTGTAATATTCTATGGAACCGTCTTTTCTGTTTCAAATTTTCAAAAGGTAACTGCTCTCAGTACGTTGAAATAATCAATTTGAAAACTGATGAACTCCTTCCATTTATTTATAGTCATAATTTTTAATATCATTTACATTTGTAATGGAAAGTGACTTCATGAGTTATCTCATATTGAAGTCATGTTTCAATTTGACGACTCTGTATATAATACAGGGAGAGAAAAAAACAGCCCTTGCTGAGTTTCTTGCCGGTTCTTCTCAGTACAAGGTCTCCCGCCGTAGATTTGTGAACCGATGGCGCAGCTTCTCGACATTCACAAGTGCTTGTAACAGCCTAGACTGAATCAACTATATTGAATTTTGTTTTTTTTTTTAAATTTCATACTGCGAGCTGTACATAATGGTATGATTTTCAGGTCACGTGACCCAAGACGCACCCGTAGCCGGCTCGCCCCTGTACACAATAAAAGCGTTTGTTCCCGCTATCGATTCATTCGGATTCGAGACGGATCTGCGAACGCACACGCAGGGCCAGGCCTTCTGCCTGCAAGTGTTCCATCACTGGCAGATAGTGCCCGGCGACCCGCTCGACAAGAATATAGTCATACGGTACGTACACTATCCATATAGTATTCCTAGCACGAACCAATATCGAATTCGTAACGTTTGCGAGTCCGAAATGTCATTTGAACAAGTTTCAAAAGCGTTTTACACAATATAATCTTAATATATATAAATCTCGTGTCACAATGTTTGTCCTCAATGGACTCCTAAACCACTGAACCGATTATAATGAAATTCGCACACCATGTGCAGTTCGATCCAACTTGAGAGATAGAATAGTTTAAATCTCAAATTATAGTCGCAATTTTAATTTATTGCAAATTATTACTTTTGGGCGGTACGAAGTTCGCCGAGTCAGCTAGTCTTATATAAATTTTTAAACGGTACTTAAGGCAATAACAGAAACTCACTTGTTATTCAATTCAAAAATTCGAACGATTACGTAAGGTAGAAATTACAAATTAACAATAATATGAAAGAAGTACCAACAAAGATTCAAATTAATTTGAATCTAACCTATATAAATCAAAATTATAAAAGGAGCAAGATTATTAAATTTGTTGTATTCAATTCAAAAATTAAAATGATTACGTAGGGGAGAAATTACAAATCTATCTATACTTATAATAAATCTGTAGAGAGGTCAATTCTGTACATGAAGTATATTTTCAAAATAACTATCAGGGGGTGATTAGTGATCGATACTCATGCCAAAAATGCAATCAGTAAAATTTTTGTCTGTCTGTCTGTCTGTGTGTATGTTCCTTATAGAAACAAAAACTACTCGACGGATTTTAACGAAACTTGGTACAATTATTCTTCATACTCCTGGGCAGGTTATAATATACTTTTCATCACGCTATAATCAATAGCAGCAGAGTAGTGAAGGGAAATGTTGGGAAAACAGGAGAAGTTACTCCATTTTTTAAGCTTCCGTCGCGTGTGCAGCGTTAATGGTTAAAGTTACATAGAAATCATGTATGACGGAAATATTCTACATAAAATTGTCTAAAAAATATTCCGCAATAGCATATGTCTATCTTTTATGGTTGACTCACAATACCACGTGTAATTATATAAATAAAGTCATTGTTTATAGCACAATCCTGAGAACAAAAACTATAGTTTACACTACAGCTCTACACCGAAGTGAAGCGAGGGCGGGCCACTAGTTAACAATAATATAAAAGAAGTACCAACAAAGATTCAAATTAATTTATCGCAAAATTAATTGGATTCTAACATAAATAAATCAAAATTATAAAAGGACCATGATTACTAAATTTGTGTAAATGCGTGTGTGCGTGTGTTTTTATTGTAGCGTGTGTGTGTGTGTGTGCATGCCATTGTTAAATGTTATATGAAAACTTGAACATCAGCGCCACAACGGACGTAAGGAGAACTAAAAACCAGTACACATTTGACAATGACATTTCGCACTCGCAAACTATTCGAATTCGATATTGGTTCGTGCTAAAGGTACTGCACACTATTAAAGCGTTCGTGCCGGCCATCGACTCGTTCTGGGTCGAGACCGATAGGACCAGGAATTTTACCGGCAGGGAGATGTCAACGTAAAAAAATTACAAACTTTTTTAACTTGTCTCCTTTTTTCTGAATTTGGTGTTTAATTTTTTTAATTGATTATTTACTATATTATTATGGAGTATGCATGTAATCAGGGTTTTCTGGAATTATGGGCGCCAGGTGGCAGAACTGAGACGAAATGTCTACTCATTCGTCAAATCACGTATGACGCCATAGCCTATGGATCAATTAAGGGTGTATTCCGAAATATATATCAGTATACTGGCCAGTGGTAATGACGTCACGAATGTGACGCCATAGTGTACTGGTATGCTACCATATTTTTACCGGGAAAACGGATATGACGTATGACCGAGCGTGCGTGAGATGCAGTCGATTTTTATTTCTTTGGCTTCCGAACAAAAAGAATTCCTTTTAATTGATGAGGTGAATAAAAAGTCTTCTTTATTAGCACTTTTTTTAATATTTCGTCGATTTATGACGTCAGTGCACTGGCCAACATATTTCGGAACAATTCACCAGTATAGCGTCGATTCATGACGTCATTATCACTGGCCAGTATACTGGTATATATTACGGAATACACCATTTAACACTCGTTCGATTAATTCGTGCAAGTTCAAACACAAAAGACGCGCCAAAAACTTCATGTCACAGTGTCACCAACTGGTGACATACATTTTTATAAACACCCCATTTTAATAAGGCTCAAATTTTTTTAGGTATATAAACTCTTAACTTCTTCGAATAACATGCAAATATCAACTTCTCTTGAATTTGATGACTTATGTGTGAACAAATAAATTTATTTAATTGTATGTAACTTTTGTTTCAACCATCAGGCCATTGGAACCTCAGCCGGCGACGCACCTGGCGCGCGAGTTCATGATAAAGACGCGCCGGCGCAAGGGGCTCAGCGAGGACGTGTCCATCAACAAGTTCTTCGACGACCCCATGTTGCTCGAGCTGGCTAGGCAGGATGTACAACTTATTATATAATATTAAAGAAATAAGTGAAAATAACTGCATTCTTATTTAACCGCCCGATGTAATCGCCCTATGTTTAAATATTTTCAAATTTTCAGTTATAAATGAAAGATAAGAGATTGATTCTTATTAAGTGGTGGTAAAGGAACAATGGAGGTGCTCGATGGCGCAAGTGGTTAGCGCGATCAGCTGCGATCTTTGAAGTTAAGCAACTTTGGCAGTGGTCGGTCATTGGATGGGTGACCAAAAATTTATTATCTCGAGTTCCTCCGTGGTTCGGAAGGCACGTTAAGCCGTTGGTCCCGGCTGTATCTGCAGTCGAACAATCTAGAAGAAATATATAGGACTTTTTGTTACTTCAAATAGTAAAAATTGTGGACTTCCACAAATTAATTTCAATTTGATGATAAGAATTAATAATATATAAATAAATATTTCCAACACTCACACCAATAAGCCTAGCCCTAAAGTAAGCACTGTAAGGCTTGTGTTATGGGATACTAGGGTAACGAATAGAATACATATACATTACTTATATGAGTATATTTATATAGAAATACATATTAAAATTCCATGACTGGAGTGGAGACATCTGCCCCCACCGAGATTCGAACCCGAGACCTCTCGAGTCGGCGACATCATGATACCCGGCGTACAATCCACTCGACCACGGAGGTCGTCAAATTAATAAGATTATTCTGGTCAACTCGTAACGATTACTTTCGTTTTTTTTTAGTTTCAAATGCCCAAAATAAGTTCCTAGAGCTTCTTCCATGGAAACTACATAATAAATCATTTAATAATAACCATAGTTCAGGATGAAATATTCTTGTCCATCGTAAAAATAAGTGCAGTCAGAATTCGAGCCCAGGACTTTAGAGCCGAAGATAGGAGCGCTGTCTTTGTACCAACTAGTCGTCAAAAGTGCAGATACTGAATCAAGTTTTACAAGGGCCTATTAACGCAATTTTCTTTCGTCTTGTTATAGCAGCAGTACTTTAACAACCCTACGATGATTCCGGCACACGCTATTTTTGTGTCAAAGCTTTCAGGCACAAAGTTGTATACCTATGTGTTTTGTCTTCAATATGAGAATAAAAAAATGTTTTTGTCAAAGTCTGGTGTTAGCAGTGTTATCAGATTGTCGGTTTTTAACGCAATACTGGGGAAAACTTTACTCTTACTCAAAAAAACTCAAACTTATTTATTCAGTCTAGGCTGTTACAAGCTCTTGTGAAAGTCAAAAGCTACGCCATCGGTTCGTAAATCTACGGCGGGAGACCTTGTACTGAGAAGAACCGGCAAGAAACTCAGCAAGGGCTATTTTTTCTCCCTGTTTTGTTTCATACATTGTCGTCAATTGAAAAATGACATGATCTTGGAGAAAGAGTATCTTTGAGTAAAATAAATATATATTGCGGAAGTTTTGGAGCTAGCTTCAAAGAACATAACAGACAGTGAATTGAAGATTCTTCTTTTGTGACTAATATGCAAGACATAATATCGATGAAATACCTAGTTGCTACTTCAAAGATGTGGTTGGAGGGGCGGAAAACGTGTACGCAATGAGAATTTTACCTTTTCAACCATGGCGAAAACCCGTTGAAGAGTTTTGGGAAGAAGTATTAACCTATAAAATGATTTCTAATTTAGCCAAACTTGCCACGATTTCTTAGAAAACCAGCCATCAATGTTTTAACAAACCAGAAATATGCTAGGTTTTTTTAATTCTGAAAATGTATATCAAGAAACGGAAGAAAGAAAGTCTGAATTTTCAAATTTCCAAGTACATACTTCGGAAAAGTGGTAACGCGATGCGGGTTTACTTTTGGAAAACTTATTATTTTGAGGAAATACAAAAATCAGTTTGAGGAAAATCATAAAATTGCGTTGCATCTGGTAACCCTGGGTGTCAGTGTCAGTTTTCTGTCAAAAACACGAGTTCTTTTGGTTCTGAATGGTGATTACAGGTTACAATACAAAGTTTTAAATAAATAGTAGTTTGTAAATCAGAATAGATTTTTAATTTATAACATAATACAGTGGTCGCTCCTTAAGTTTATAATTTTATAAATACTATATTTGAAAATGGCTCGCGGCAAGGATAAGAAGAAGTAAGTTTGGTTATATTATATGTTGTATTTGTTTTAAAAGTTCTTTTATCACTTATGTTTCTTTGTGTAGGCGGAAATTGGAGAAAAAACAGGAAGGTGACGATGTTCCCAAGAAAATCCCTCATACCCTGGAATCTCTCAGAGAGAAAGATGAGACGATGCTGGCAAATGTTGACGCAGAGGAGCAAGAAGAGGTTAGACATATAAATATACGATATTTTTAAAAAACAGTAAAGAAGTTTTAATATGAAATAGTTAAAGAAGATGGTAGTCTATTAGGTAGAAACTGAAGTTTTACACTATTCATTACTAGCTGTCACTGGTTATTAGGGATATTTTCCCGCAGTAAAACGTAGCCTATGTATTAATCCAGGGTGTCAGCTAACTCCATACCAAATTTTATTAAAATCGCTTTAGCCGTTTAGACGTGAAGAACTAACAAACATCACACTCACACACTTTCACTTTTATAATATTAATGTGCTAACATACTCAATGAATATCATATAAATTATTAGTAATTTTATTATTAAAAACATATTTATAAAGGAACTAATGTCTTAAATTTTATCAAAACTAAATAGTGTGCACTCATGAAAATTACACATAAAATAGCAACATAGGTACTGTGTTTCTTGTGATATTTAGAAAAGACTGTATTATTTTCCAGGCACAAAAAGACATGGAACTGGATGAGCTGTCGTCATATTATGAAAACACCTATGAACCCAAAGTTCTTATAACATATTCAGATAACCCACATAACAAAACTAGAATATTTGGCAAGGAACTTGCTCGAATGATTCCAAATTCTCTCTCGAGGTATCGTCAAAGGTAAGAAGATCAGTTTTAATTTCTTTTAATACAGCAGTCATTGTTTTTTTCGTGATAGCAAAGACGTAGGCTGTTCTTCATAAAATCTAGAATTTACCTTTTCTATATTATCTTACTAGTCTTTTTAGAGTCAGACAAAAAAAGAAAAATAAATAAATTAATATAGCTCATATAAAAAGGGCTCAAGTTTGTTAACCTAAGCTTCGCAATGCTTGTGGTCCTTTTAACGTCTTATTCAACTAAATGGCTTACTCACTGATGGTTTTAGAAAATATTTAATATTGTGTCTGAGTGTGTGGCACAGCAATAAAAAAAAGTAGGTAAAATAAGTAAATTTAAACCATAGGTCAAGCACCTTTCCCAGAAGAGTAGGTTGTGAGAAGCAATTGATAAGCTCTTTATTATCCAGACAACAAGTTTGTATTTGTCGTTTCAACTCATTTCTTTGTCACACTGTTCATAAATGGAATGCTCTGCCCGCCCACATGCCCAGAAGGACCTGGGGTCCTTTAAAAGAGATTTGAAGCTATATCCATAGTACCATCACATCTGGACTTCACAGACACTTAACATCATGTAGAGCAGAGTCATTTGTCAGACCAATCTATAAAAAAAAGTATGTTATTTTATTAACACAATATTTCTCCAATAAAAAAAAGGGATTGTATTCAAAGTTACCATTAATCTAGTTGAGGAAATATGTAAAAAACAATGTAACATGAAGTCCTATTAAAATTTTTCTTTTTCAGGTCTTCAGTTAAACGTATTGTACAATCAGGCATAAGGGAAGGTATCACAGATGTGATAATAATAAATGAAAATCAGAAGCAGCCAAATGGTTTTCTTCTCATACATTTACCTGATGGACCCACGGCTCACTTCAGACTATCTAGTTGCAAGATCACACCAGAGTTAAGAAAAGACCATAAAGAAATTACTACTCATAGGCCTGAGGTATGATATGGTAATCTACTTAATTTTTCAGTAAGTCATAAATTCTTACACTCAACACATCCTTTTGCTGAAACTGAATTGTAATGATACAGATCAATTAATCAAAGCAACTTAAATACTTTGAGGTGCTTCCCCATCAGGATGCATTTGTCTGTTATGTAACGTTATATTGAATTAGAATAGTTTGCGAATGCTGAATGTTAATGTTAAATTTTGTATAGAAACTTGAACAGCAGAGCCACAAAGTCACGAGAACTAAAAATCACTACACGATACGATTTCGATATTGGTTTGTGCTAAGGGTACTGATTTGAACATTTAAGAGATTCAGTGAGGGAGGAGAAGTGATCACAACCCGTAAAAATAAAATCTGTAATATTTTGATACAAGTTGTTGTGCACATCTAGTTTTTGGCCGTGTTGCGTCGCCAATGAAAATCGAATTTATATAGTACAGGTATTAGATTGGTATTCAGAACACAAAATCAAATCTACAACTACTACTATCAAAATATAACTAGAAAAAAATCCAAGCGGACCAGGCAACAGACGGGACTCGAACCCGCACCCTTCGCAATCCGGGCGAATGCACTAACCAATTATGCTATCGCGGCCCTGACGGCCGCGTCGAAATTCTTCTACCCATTCTTAGGCTGCAAGGCAGCGCCATTTCTGCGCATTGTAGTTAACTCACAATGAATACTTTTCCAGTATTAAACATTTGAAAGAAGAAATAGCAATTATATTTATAATTTTTTCAAGCATGTAACTGCTTGATGTTAATTGTTCAAAATTTAATCTAAAATGTTACATGCCTGCTTCCGATGAAGGAGCATCTTTAAATATAGGTACAACACTGTGGGAAAAGTGTGACCTAACAGAATTGTTTGTTATAATGTTAAGTATTTTTTGTTAATACAAAAATTAAATAAGCCTTCATTCAGACCGACTCGCTACTTAAATAAAATTTACCTAAATTATTAATCTGATTGCTCTTTGGCAAGCCTCCTCCAAAGTTTCCCAATGCACTCTATCCATAGTATAGTATTTATAAAACTTAAATTATTCTACAATTTCAGGTAGTTTTAAACAACTTTAGCACCCGTCTTGGTCTGACAGTGGGCCGTATGCTTGGCGCGTTGTTCCACTACGAGCCGCAGTTCCGCGGCCGTCGCGCCGTCACCTTCCATAATCAACGGGACTACATATTTTTCAGGCATCATCGGTTAGTTTGAACATTATCTCTTATTATTATAGTAGGATACTTACTTTTCTTGCCTGTGATGTAGAAGTAGAAGTTAAAATAAATAAATAAAATAAAAATAGCCTTTATTCTCTGTTGTACATGTTAAAAGTAACTTAACTTAAAATTAAAACTTAGTTTAATCGCTGACATCGGCACGTGTACAATCAGGTTGTCCTTGGACATAGGCCTCCTCCAAATTGGCCCGTTGGTTCCTATCTGTGGCTGCTCGTCGCCAACCTCTACTACGTTTACCATCTCGGGGGTACTACTCAATAATATCCTTTAAATAGAAGTAGAAGTTAGTTACCATCAAATATGAAATTGCTTATGCAACTAGTCGAAGTAAATTTCCAGAACCAATCAGCTACCCTTACTTCATATTTATTGTTTTGTTCCCAAAATTAATATGTTGGTTCTCCAACTCTCTCATAGTATTGCTTTTTATAGCAGTTTCGCACTTCATAGTCAAGGAACTCGGTGACGCAGGCGGTCAGCGCATTCGGCTGCGATCGTTGAAGTTAAGCAACTCTCGCTGTGGTCGGTCATTGGATGGGTGACCAAAAATCTTCTGTCTCGAGTTCCTCCGTGCTTCGGTAGGCACGTTAAGCCGTTGGTCCCGGCTGCATCTGCAGGCGTTAGCATTCCGCCCTGGGCCCGCGTGGTAGGTCATGGCCTAATCTCTCTATTCCATCCATAGGGAAGGCCTGTGCCCCAGCAGTGGGGACATTAATTTCAAAATAACATACATGAACACAAATTCATATTGCAGATACGAGTTCACCAAAGACGGCAAGCGTGCAAAATTATTGGAGCTGGGCCCACGATTTACGCTGAAACTGATATCGTTGCAGCAGGGAACCTTCGATTCGAAGCATGGCGATTACGAATGGATTATTGCTGGCCGTCGGCATCAACTCGAAACGTCCAGGAGGAAATTCTTTTTATAGTAGAAATAAAGGATATTGTTATAAACTTTTACACCATGTTATTGTTTGTTTTTAGCGTATTGCCGATATTTCGGCACTGTTGCAAGCGCCATGATCACGGAGTAACTGGTAACCAGTGTTGCCAGGTCTGATTTAAAAAAAATGGGGGGCGTTACTAGAAATATGCAGTAGATTTATGGAAAGAGCTAGGTACAGAAAAAACAGTAGATGCAGGGGCGTACTTTTTCCGATTTGCACATCCAGAATGCGCAGAATCGAAGTCAGAGGAGCGCACTCAGAAACGTATTCCTTCTGAGCTGATAATCAGCGTTGGTATAATGCGATTCAACTAAGAATAGGACAGACTGGGCGCCATATTTTGACGACATAGCTGTGAATTCAAACCAAATAGGTAGAGAAAAAAAAAAAGATTTTATTCAATAAAATTTCTAACTAAGATTAAGTGAGAAAAAACATCAGATTTTTTTATGAAAATATTTACTAAGATTGAGAAAAAATCAACAAATTTTTAATAATATTTATTTATTAAGACTGTGTGAGAAATAATCAGTATCTAGCTCTTCAATTCCGCTCATCTCTACATTACTGCCGGAGTAGATAAGAATAATCATGCACTATTACTAGGTCACATACGAACATACATCCTTTAGGTAAACGAAAGTTTTAAATTGAGTTTCTGAACGCAACTTAAAGTGACATTTGGTTGACGGTTTAGGTTATCAACCATTCATAGCCAAAGCTCAATAAATGAAAAAAAATATCAACCAATATTAATTAACAATATTTGTTATTGTTTGTTTACAAATGTGTGGTTTTTAATCTAGAATTAGCTGAGTGCTAAAAAAGAGTTCTTTTGCAAACCGTACTTTTCAAGCGACATTTGACAGTTGGAGGTCATTGGCTTTCCTATTCTTATTTGAATCGCATTAGATAGCTTTTCATCTCGGGAATGCATTAAGTTACGAAGTTAAGGGTGTGAATTTGCTTTGTATGTTTCTAAATGGCTTCGACTCTGCCTAGTAAGAATTGACCATTACGCTTCGGTAAGATTCTACGTCATGGTGCGATTGTACTTAGCCGTTAGCACGAATATGAGTGTCAATGGAATTCGGGTAACCGAGTAAGTGTATAGAATGGAGTCGAGTACGCTCGTATTCGGGTAGTTTTCGTTTTGGTTAGCCGACAGTCTTCCAGTGTAAATACTGCTTTGGGTGCCCCGAATTCGAGTAATGTCTTCGTGCACCCGGATACAGGCTAACGGCCAAATCTAATTAATCTATTAGTGGTTTGTCCGCAGTGGCGGCGCTAGACCACATGTGGACGTCGGCGACATCAAGTTCGCGAGGCCTATTTTATTTCGCAGTAAACATCGTTAAATTAAGTGAGCCAAATTATAAAATAACGTATGAGTAAACGAGTTTTATTGTTGATAATCAAATGATGACGAAAAATAATTACAAACATAGTTTAATTACAAAAATAGTGTTGCCAGACAGACGATTCTGAATACCCGTAAAGTACTACTCGCTTCCATCACGCACGTGTTCGAAAATAATAAAAGTCATTATCATCTGCTTAGCTTTTTCCCCGAATTGTTCTGGGTCGGCTATCTAAGCCAGGCCAGGAGAAACGAAAATAAATATGTAACTTGTAAAAATTTTTTGCGAGGCCAGGCTCAGGCGCGAGGCCGACGCCTAGCGCCGCCACTGTTTGTCCGAATGCGGGTGATTAGGAAAATTTACGCCACCAGTTGGCGCCACTGACAGCACTTATTCGGACTTCTCATAACATCTTAAAAAATGCTCGCTGACCGCTTTCTTCTTCACCGCTAGATTACACCGGAATGGCAGCGCGGCGTCGAGCACTTTCAGTGCGGAATAATTTGAAACTTTGATCAAATTAATAAAAGAAAGGCCAAGTGCGTGTCGGACTCACCCATGAAGGGTTCCATAGCAGTAAGTAACATAATATAAAAGTACTTGTAGGTCATTGTAACTTCGATCGATGTTTTAATAATACTTAGTGTATATTTTTTAAATAAGTAATTAATTATTTAAGAAAAACTACTCAGGAAGGTACTAGATCTCGTTCAAATTTTCGGTGCAAGTTTGCATGGTAATGTACATTAAATATATATTTTTTTGTTTTATCATTCTGTTATTTTAGAAGTTCCGGGGGGGGGGGGGGGGGCACATTTTGCCCCTTTGGATGTCTCTCACGTAAACTAATCAGTTTAGAAAAAAATTATAGGTATTAGAAACCTCAACATCATTTTTGAAGACCTATCCATAGATGGCACACGTATGGGTTTAAGGATATTTTTTTTAGTTTCAGTTCAAGTATGGGGAACCCCCAAAGTTTGTTTTTTTTTTCTATTTTTGTGTGAAAATCTTAATGCACTTCACAGAATACACCTACTTACTAAGTTTCAAAATGATAGTTCTTCTTTACCTAGTTTTGGAAAAAAGTGTCTGAGAGATACGGACGGACAGACATACGTTCCGTTTTTTGTCATTTGGCTACGGGACCCTAAAAAGCTCGGAGAAGTCTTCGATTAAAACATCTTTCAATGAGAAAGTGCACGCCGCGTCGCAGCTGTTCCGGTGAGGATTAGGCCTTAGATGCAACGAGATATTTGCGCCGCACCGTGTAGGTCTGGACTCTACTCGTTGATAGTTTAAAAGGAAATCAATGTACCGGAGCAAATATCAAAACCGAGCTTATACATACCCAACCTAACAGCTATTACCACAAATGGCAACTCCTATAAACATCCGAGCCAGTGCCCGTAGCATGAATAACTGCCAAAAACCATTGTAACTCGACAATAGAACGAGATATAAATAATAAAAAAAAAAACATATGTGTCATCTATTTCTTTTTTTGATTTTTAAAATGGGCGTCAAAAACATGGATGCTGTTTTTTTTTGTTTAAATCTTCTTAAAAATAGGCTTAGTTATTGTACTCTTATGAGGTGTCATTTATGCAAATAGCTTACAAATTGTTGTAACTAACACCAGAAATCCTAATAGCGGAAGAAATGGTTTGTTTTAGGTGAATTAATTAAAACAAAGGAGAATGGACAAGTGCGGCCACTTCAAAAAGTTAATAAAATTGATAGAAAACATAATTACGTAAAAGTTGTTATGTACTCGGACACCTATTTCGTACGTATAGTTTTCGAAATAACCTAAATAGTGTATCTACACTAATATTACAAAGAGGAAAGATTTGTTTTTTTGTTTGTAACAGATAAGCTCGAAAAGTACTGGGCCGATTTTAAAAATTCTTTCACCTAAAGAGCTACATTAGTCCCGAGTAACAGTCTACTTTTTATGCTACAGGAATCCCCATGACTTACGATCATGCGGGCGAAGTCCGTGGGCGGAAAGCTAGTACTTTATATAATTTCGCTTAACTATGTTCGCGTGGCCTTTATTCATTACATTGGTTACCCAAAAATAGCATAATCATGTTTTAAAGTGGTTTTCAAACTCTAATACAGTGAATCAAAACAGTAAGCACAGTTTCTATGTAGAGAGAGAGAGGATATTAAATAAAACTTAAATATTTTTAAAACTCATTTATTTCATTAAAATACATACAAAATTATATTTCTAAATATTAAATTTTTACAATGTATAACATTAAAAAAAATAACATTTAAAAATACAAAAATGCAGTTCCCCATCGGCAGCAAGATCAGGGTCCCTGCTACCGGCGGTTAAGGATCCATAGACAGGAACCTCCTCACTATTCGGGCCGTGTCCAGAAGAACTGCCTTCTGCATCTGACTCTTGACCCAACCACCTAACGCGAGCCTCTTAAGGTGTTTATCGAGGCTCTTGGCTATCAAACCATGGGCAGATATGATTATCGGCACAACAATTGCTGAATCGATGTCCCACATGTCAACAATCTCGCGAGCTAAATCAAGATATTTGTTTTCTTTATCTTTTTCAGCTTTTACAAGGTTGTCGTCATGTGGGACAGCGACATCAACAACTACTGCACGGCGTTCGTGTCGATCTATCAATACAATATCGGGCTTATTAGCCACAATAGTCCTGTCTGTAATGATAGATCGATCCCAATATAATGTGGCATGGCTATTTTCAAGAACCTGTTTTGGAGCATACCTGTAGTAAGGAACCTCGGATGCTAAAAGATTGTATTTCAAAGCAAGTTGTTGGTGTATTATCCTGGCCACTTGGTTATGTCTGTGCAAATACTCGCCATTTGCGAGACGAGAACAACCGGAGATTATATGCCTAAGGGATTCACCTGGGTGATGGCACGCACGGCAAACATCCAATGTGTCATCCTTCAGTATAAACCTCCGGTAGTTCTTCGTCATCACAACCTCATCCATAATTGCACAGATAAAACCTTCGGTTTCACCAAAAAGGTCACCGAAACGTAGCCAGGATACTGATGCTGATAAATCTACGTCAGGCCCATGGAGAGCCCGGTAGAATCTGCCATGCAACTCCTTGCTTTGCCATACAATGCTGCGATCCGAAGTACTACAGGCCTGCGCCAGTTTTCTTTTGCTAAAAATAGAGGAGTGAGTCCATTGTCAACAGCAACTACATCTCTATGAATCCCCATATCGACGTTAAGAAAATACTCCCTTAGATTGTTTATCTCGCGGTTATGCAATGTCTTGGCATTTAGAAAGCCACGACCACCACACTTCCGCGGGATATACAATCTCATAGTCGAGGAGCGTGGGTGATGCATACGGTGTGCTGTTAACAATGTACGAACTGTTCTGTCCAAGGCATCAAGTTCAGTTTGAGTCCATTTAAGTATGCCAAAGGAATACATCAATAGCGGCATTACCCAGCCATTATATGCACGAACCTTGTTTCCGCCCGACAAAAGACTTTTAAGAACTTTTGACAGGCGCCCCAAGAAACGCTCACGTAATGACTGTTTCATGTCAGCATCGTTGATGCCTAATGCCTGTGACATACCTAAATATTATTTATAGGTTTCGTTTACGGAGAGAGATCTAAGGTGAACTGAATCCGAAAGTTGTATACCCGCGGATTCCACTACCTGACCACGCTTTACATGCATGATTGCACATTTGTCCACACCAAATTCCATTCTGATAGCATTACTGAAATCTTCAGTAACCTTCAGTAAGGCTGTCAAATGAGAACTGCTGTGGGCAAAAAGTTTCAGGTCATCCATGTAAAGCAGGTGTGATATTACTTGACCATTTCTCCGTAAACGATAGCCTAAACTCTCGAGTAGTGTACTCAGAGGGTTCAAGGCCAGGCAAAACCATAATGGACTCAGACCGTCGCCCTGGAAGATGCCTCGCTCTATTTTTATAGGATCGCCGTTACCCAGAGTCCGTCGAGATTCTGGATAGAATAAGACCGTTCTCCACTGTCGCATACATGACATCAAGAAAGCGCGTAGAGTTGCATTTATTTTATACAGCTCTAGCACCCTCATGAGCCATGAATGCGGTACGGAATCATACGCTTTCTTGTAATCTATCCAGGAAGTCGACAGAGTCTTTCGGTTACGGCGGACCTGTTGATTAATAGCCATGTCAATGAGGAGTAGCTCTTTAGTACCACGGGCCCCATTCCTACATCCATTTTGAGAGGTGAACATGATAGAATTTTGATCAATATGTTTACAAATCTTAGATCTCAAAATAGATGTAAGAGTTTTATAAATTGTTGGCAGACAGGTGATTGGTCTATAATTTTTTGGGTCCGTAGTACTACCAGATTTATGGAGCAGATGGGTTATGCCTGTTGTCATAAATTCTGGAAGCGACCGAGATGATAAAGCACGCTGGAATTGAGATGCTAAGCAAACGTGCGAGCTTGGTAACCATTTGAACCAGAAATTGTGCAGTCCGTCTGGGCCTGGCGATTTCCAGTTGGGTAACGAACGAACTGCACAAACTACGTCTTCGTAGTCAATGGTCACATCGTTCATTTCAGGTAAAAGCTCGCACGATCGCTCAACATCCCTCATCCACGCGCCATCAGAATGAGTGACAGGCACGGACCAGATGTTGCGCCAGAAAGAAATCATGGCCTCATCATCCGGTCGACAGGTATCAATATCACTATGATTCGATTGCTCCCAGGATCGATAAGCACAACGTTGATCTGTTTCGAACATGCGGTTCTGAGTAAAACGACTCACTCGCATCTTATACCTCCGAATGCGATTAGCCCATGCACAAATTTTCTGATTCAGAAAGTCAATGCGCCCTGTGACACGTGAACTATAATTCTCGGGACTAATACCAGTTCCCGAGAATGCACGCCTCACAAAGCGCATGACCCTAGGGCGGGTGTTGCCCTCCCTGAAACAGCTGAGCTTACCGATGAGTACCCTAGCCTCGCTAATACGGTTCTCAATCCTGCACTGCCAGGCTGGTACAGCCTGTCTAGGGCGTGTTGCTATGTCAGTATTTGAGAATTTGACATGCGCCACACGACAAGCCGTAACAGCCGCACAGTACAAGATCGAATGAGTATCAGCGAGGCCTTCGCTACTATCAATATAATTTGATAATAGCGAATCTAAAGCGCACATCAGCGCCCTATTTTTTTTGTGCATAGGGAAACGCGGAAGCCGAGGTCTAAGACGCAACGGAGTGGATCGAAATTCCCGAACTACATCCTCGAAAGTACTCCTCAATACATCATTATATTGGGAACTTACAGTAGTAATCACATCGTCTCTATCATCACCATCAGCAACGTCAGCTTGTAATGCTGTAATGGACGGAGATAGATTTGCCGCCTGTGATGCAATAGAAACGATGTGATTACTTTGTACCTCTGTACGGAGCCGATCAAGTGTAGAGTCATCCAATAAGTGACCCCGTTGAATGGCCCGCACCTGACCCGATAATCGTTGAGCCGAAACGTTGACGGTTGGTTCAAGAGCCTGAAACAGAGAAAGCATCCGAGCACGGTACGCAGTAAGATTGGTTCCTGCCTCTGTTGCCTCAAAATATGCACGCATGACACTTTCATTTATGGAAGTTGTCCATCGCATGCGGTGCACTCCACCGGGAGCGGGGGCCCTGACCGGAGCCGATTGCCCCACAAGCCCCAAACCCTTCGGTGGCCGGCCTCTTCTTCGACGAACTGGTGGTGGCGTCGCTGGAGGAGAGAAGTACTCGTCACTATCGCTCGACGCAACTGCAGGTGTCAGCCGGAGGGTACTCGGTACTGTGACTGTTGCCGAAAACTGCGAGGCGGAGCGACGTGCCGAGTCCGGTGATCTCAAACGTGCTTTGCTCCTCGTCAACATTGTTGATTCATTTCCATTCTGTTGTTTTTATTCATTATTTGTTTTGACACTTTCACATGTCATCGGGGTAATCATTTTTTGTTTGTGAACTATTTTCTTTTTTTATTTCTATTTAATTTTTGGTTTTGTAGTAGATTCAATTCAGATAACTATGGTATTATAAATATAGTAGTAATTAATGACATACGATCATGCGGGCGAAGTCCGTGGGCGGAAAGCTAGTACTTTATATAATTTCGCTTAACTATGTTCGCGTGGCCTTTATTCATTACATTGGTTACCCAAAAATAGCATAATCATGTTTTAAAGTGGTTTTCAAACTCTAATACAGTGAATCAAAACAGTAAGCACAGTTTCTATGTAGAGAGAGAGAGGATATTAAATAAAACTTAAATATTTTTAAAACTCATTTATTATCACTTCATCCAAAACTGGTGCTGTAAGATTTAGAGTTCCTTGGTGCCGTGCCCACCCTAGGTACCACACAATTGACATAACGTGAGCACAGCAACCCAAAGTCCGTCTTCCTGTAAGGCATGTACAATAATATTGGGGTATACATTCTGTTCCAACTCCTTCTCTATAACTATTATATATACATAATATACAGTAGTGGGCACAAGAGCGTACGGGGCGAAAATCAAAAACGGTGTGCGAGGGGAAGGAGAGGGTGATACTATTGCATGCAGTGGAGAAACGACTTTAATGCATAGTAGATTCGGGAGAAGTATGACTGTTGGAGGAGTTCTAGGTTTTGCTATGTGACAGTGAGTCCTCGATTCAAGCTCCTAACCTGAGGTCCCCGCGAATGCAGGCGTAAAAACTCTTCACTGTTAACCTGTAAGTTACACCTTGGTTCGTAGGGAGCAATATCCATATCAGCATATTGCTACAACATTAGAGCAAGCAACCGTGACGGCGATAACGCCGTTATCGCTAAAGTTAAACGATATTGAATTCAGTTTCTCTTGCTTCAATTGAATAGGTTATCGGGGTTAATTAACCGATATCATCCGGTCAGTTGAATTTATTAAATTAATTATAGTTCGGGAAAATGAAACAATATACCATTGTCCGATAAGGTTTGACGTCATACCTACGGTAAACCGCAGCTACACCTATGGACGTATTCAAGTGTTCATTACCTAACGATGGTTTCGATGGATGTTTCAATATGAACTCAAGTCTCTCGAGTTTGCTTCGTAAACTTTTCTGAGGACATGAGTGAACGCTGCAACGCTCTAGTGGAATAGCTTGGCGTAACCAAACCTCCAGAGAACATCACACGGTCAAGTAAGACTGCAGGTCACGTAGCAAGACTCCATGCATGCTCAGCATGTCACGGGCAGCTCCTGAATATTACCTATATATTTTTTTCCATACGGAGCATGATTGCGCAACCTGACGGGAAAGTTAACACAGTCTATGATATCACTCGCTTAATAAAATATAAAACTGTATTTATTATCGCTATCATTTGCCCTCTTTCAGTTATAATTAATTTTTCCTTCCCTGCATTTTATAAAATTTCTATTATTACTGCGGTACACCATGCGGTCAGTGCGTTTTAATTATCCTCATTATAGCGAGATATAATTAAACCACATAGAAATTCCCGATATAGTTATGGAATTCCAACCAGTATTCCTTATCAGGTACGTTTCGAATTAGTATAAATTGCGGTAAAGACCTATACAACCAATCATTAGCATATATATCCTCGACACAATCGCCAGGAGCTCTACATTCAATCACATATTTACCCTCAACATATAATCACGATGTGGGGAAACAATAATAATGGAAAATCTGGAGAAACCGCTCGTCGAGCCGCCGATGAACGTTGGAAGGAACAAGAGGCTGAGTGGAAAAGACAAGAGGAGCGTGAAGAAAGGAAACGTCAGCGGGAAGAGCAGCAGAAACTTGAGGAGCACCTCTTGCGGTATGCAGAAGCTTTACGACATCAGGCATTGTTGCGCGGGACAGCCAACAGGCCGAAGTAATACAACCTACTCGTATATGTGATAATTTATAATAGTATTTATTCTTAAAAATAAAAAAAAACTCGTTCCTCATACATGATTATTTCATTTCAAAGTGCATGTCAGCTCAGCAACGAATGCCAAGCTTGCGTGTACCTCCTCATAAATGTCAAGACTAGTCATTAAACTTTGTAAGAGAATTGTAGGTGCACAGTGACATGCTATGCAGCGATAGATAGGTACGGTTCACGTTACATAGTTTCTAGGTAAGGTATCTGTGATACTATAACCCTAACATTACAGGAAAAATAAAAAAGACACATATTTAGAGTAATACGAAATGACAAATCTTAAATATAAGTAAGGTGTATGAATGTATTAAACACATTTTATCATACACTCCGCCACATAGTACTCGTCCAAGCCCACTTTAGCCAATACTCTGCAGTTGGCATCTCGCCGATTGAAAAATAAAAGCCTGTTTGTGGCCCGTGCACTTCGCTCACGCGGTACTCGTAGTGCTTCTGAGATTCTTTCAACAGAATCGCACGTTCCAGGTAGAACTTCAGCCACTGATGGACGTGTCCCGAGCAGTAGTGATGCCAGTGATTATCTTGACAACGGTAATCGGAATGCTCTTGAGCTCGTTCGATGTTGAGCCGACACACGCAAGAAGCGTAGTCACCATATGAACAGTCATCCATGTTTATGAGCCGGAGGAAATTGGAGAGCTCCGAGATATAGGTGAATTGGGGTATACCGGGAGGTGTGATACCTCCGAACAATGGTACCATGCTGTTGAGGCCTACTTGCAGACATTTTTCTCCCATAATTTCGTAATGGAAAAGGTACTCGATGCTCAGCCGTTTTCCATTGTAGAATGTGGCTTCGAAAGTCTTCACGTTTAACTCTGTCAACAATTGTGTGAAACAGCTTGCTTCTGCCGGTGCGGACATTGTTTTAAGTTTATCTTTTCTTAGCTCAATAAAGACAGCAGACGTAGGCACGTTCGTAACGTTCAGTAACCGAAAGTGATTTGTGCCTGAAGATCTATTTATTACAGATGAATACTTATCATAACATCAAATATAGCGTTGGGTTTTCCTCAAGATTTTGTAGCCCGTGCCAACTGATCCTAGGTTATCGTAAGACGCAGAGCCCGACTACCTGTCTCAAGGTAACCAATAACAATGGTTTGATAACGATCCCGTACTCGTAACATATTACCTATTCATATTCTAAGCAGTTGCATATGGTTTGTTCTATATTTAAACTAAAGTGTGCCACGTCTGGCAACGTATTATCGGGAAATCTATGTCTACGTGTATAGGAACGTTTATTGTCGCGGCTCTTTGCCGTAATACTGTTTGCGGCTTATGCGTAGATACTACTCATGAACCAACTTAAGAAAAACGTTATTTAGTAGACGTCTCACATTCCTGTATGGTCTGCTCCGCACCCAAACGTCGCAGGTACACGTACTCAGTAAGCGAAGGCACGTTCAGGCCTTGCTCAAGACATATGATAAGCATTGTATGTGATAGCGGAGCTTTGCATCCCATGTGCACGTAACTCTTATCATCACGCCTTGCAACTCAACTGTAAGTGATAGTGGTGTGACGTGCTATGCGGCTCCTAGTAGCACGTTACCTCTAGTGCCGTCCAAGCTTGACTTGATTGTATCTAACACTAAATTTGATCTTGGAGCAACGTAAGACGGAACGGTCTCAATACCTTACCTGCACAACTCTCCATCATTCTACAATACTAATAGGAATAAAACAAATAAAAGTAGACATATTAAACACAGCCATTTATTTCAATCTGCAGCACTTTAGACTTATGAAAACTATTCAACACTTAACACTATTGAGATGCAGCTGCACTAGAGCCGGAACCACTTATGCTGCGAGCCGAGTCAAGCAACAATTGTGTGTCCGTACGTTCACCCGTGGAATAATATTCCAAGATGGCTGGATTGTCTCGATGCACTTTTGCAATCATCGCATGGAACATCTCTTCAGATTCTTTAAGAAGAATCGCCGGCACCATATAATGGGTCAACCACGCAGAGACGTGCGCGGTGCAGAAATGATGCCAGTGGAGTTCGTTCGTGCACTCGCTTTCAGGAGATATCACTTTATGTGGATTGTTGCCACAGGTGCAGGTGTCGCCGGCAACCGTTTTGCACTTCTGAAACCGAAGCTCTTCCTCAACAAACTTCAGTATCGTAGGCAGCCGCACAATATCTCTTTCACCAGGCGGTGGCTTCCAAAATAGGGGCATGAGCCAGTCCCAATTTATCAGCAGGCGATCCTCTTCCGGTCTCGTTGCATCAAAGTTGTAGCGGACGGTGCATGCTTTCCCATTAAGAAAAGTCAAGTCCAAGTTTCGCATCGACCGAACAAACTTATGATATGCAGTGTGAAAACGCATAAATTCGGCAGGGCTGAAAGGGGCCTCACTTGGTATAGCAGGCCCGCGGATCGTGAAGGTGTCCACCGGAAAAGTAAGTGTTCTGTCTTGATCTTCTTGGGACGTCATGTTGAGTTCCAGATGTCACGGGGCTTCTCCTCCTAAGTAATGTTCCTTCGTGAACGTTCCGCCTTTCACTGTGTAGCTATCGACTATGCGCAAAAGAATATGTTCGCTCTGTGCACACTCACACAGTCATACAGTCTCACCAAAGTGAGAATATGTGGTCGTGTACATACATATTTCCTCGCTATTGGCGTTGCCACCAGTATGCATATACACGACCACACATTCTCACTTTGACGAGAGTGTATAAGTGTGCACAGAGCGAATACTGAGCCAGTAGATTGTAAACAGGGTAATTGCATGGGGATAACCAAGCAATTTGGAATTCCCGCAACCTAACCCGCGGGTTATCGACGGGTACGCCGATGTAATTGCTCCTCAAATAAACAATTGAATAATAAAATATTCTTGTACTACGTCAGCGGTTGCTAGCTGTAGTTATAGGTTGAAAAATTAACTTCAATTCTAGCATTAGTAGGTCTTGTGAGTGCCCGCTATGAATGCTGCGCTGCAGTCCATCGTCATGCTTACATTGTGCAAAAGTTGCAAGCGGTGCATGGCCTACGAGATGCAGGTGAACGCTGCATGTCTACGATAAGCAGATAATTTTACAAGTAGTATTTTTGTTCTAGGCGTTCTAAGTGTCGTTCTGTGAGAACGTGAGCTGTAGGTTTCTGATAATTCGGCCCCAACTTAGATGCTGATGCTGCAGCCTTAGCAAGTCATGTTACCTGTTACTTCGACCCGTCTTCATAGCACCTTCAAGGTGGCACATACATAACAGGTCGAAAATTTTGAAAATGCATTTGATCCCTATGCACTTCAATATCTTTATCATTGAATACGAAAA